TTAATGTGGCACTCTGTGTACAAAGGTAACATGATTATTCCAATCTTTTTTTTGCTTGTCACAGTGATAGGGTAGGGCTCAACCATATAGAGCAGAAAACCCAAATAGGAGGCTTTAATAAGACAAGGAATTACCCTTTGCTCACATGAAAGAAAGCTAAGAAAGGGAATCCAAGGCTGAAAGCCTGGTTCCAGGGCCACTGGGGACCTAGGCTCTTCCTATGGGTCCACTTCAACTTCCATACCAGGTAATTTTCATTTCAGAATTGCTGTGTGGTCAAAAGAAGGCTGCTGCTTTCACATCTGTGTTCTAGGCAGTGGAATAGACTGAGCTCCATGGAAGCTCAAAGCAAGATCTCAGCTCATTTCTGTTTTTTTTCCCTTTCAGTTCTCAGGGTTGAACTCAGGTTCTTGCACTTGCTAAGCAAGGACTCTACCACTTGAAACACACCCCTAGTCTTTTTACTTTTATTTCATTTTTTTCAGATAGGGTCTCACTCTAACTTTTGCCTGGGCTGGCCTTGAACTGCTATCCTCCTACCTCAGCCTCCCAAGTAGCTGGGATTATGGATGTTCACCACCGCACCCAACCAGTTTGTTTCTTTCACCATCTTTGTCTATAAAAGAAGCAAAATACATTGCTGCCTTCAATAATATGAAGTTTTTACTGGCAAGAAAGAAGAGACAATTAGGAGGTCAACCAGTTGTCAATATTACCCACCATGTTTTTTCCTGACCTTGTCACAACTCCTAACTACTGGAAGGTAGACCCGGGGGAACGTTCCCAAAGCCATGAACTGTCAGGCTGTGTGTGTTTGAGGTCTACAAGACCATACCACCAATATTGTGATGTACTTGCTTTGTTTTTATATAATTAGTTCTCTGCCTCAGCCTGGTTTAAGTCTGATTTACCTCAGACTAGTATATATGTGGTCCAGAAAGGACGAGTAGAGCTGAAGAGAAAACAGTTGACAGGCGCAGTGGTGGCCCTACTCTCTGCCTTGCTTGTGTTAGTCAGTTCATCCTCCTCTGACTGGGTTGCTCCTCACTCTCCTTTGATCACGGATTGCTGGAGCATGGATCTTAAATGTTCCCCAAAGGCCTATGTGTTAAAGGCTTAGTTAGTTGCCCACAGCTAGTGGAGGTGGAACCTTTAGGAGGTGAGGCTTAGTGGGAGAAAGTGAGGTCATTGGAGGCCTACCTTTGGAAGAGGTATTGTGACTCCAGCCCCTTACTGTCTTCCTCTTTTTTTAACTTCCCAGCTGCCATGAGGTGAACAGACTCCTTTGCCATGTGCCTACCATGATGTTCTGCCTCACCACAGAATTATGGACTAAAACCTTTCCTCATTACAGGTTGATTATGTCAGATATTTTGTTACTCTAACAGGAAAACAGATTGGTTTGCATGTGAGGACAGAACTGTGTTGTACTGTAGAAAGAGCTCCATGCATCTTAATTTTTAGTGAGCTTGAAAGATAAATAGACTCCCATTTAGGTCAAGTTTGGGCAACCCTGGACAATTTACACAAACATGGAACCTACCCGTTGATACCAGTAGGAAGGGCTGACAATGTAATCAACCTTCCCCCCTTCCAGGGTACCCCTATACCCATTTTATAGCCAGGAAAACTGAGGTTAGGTCTACTGTCCTGAGTCACAGAGGCCACACCAAGACTGTCTTGGTTTCCCTACGTCAAAGGATTCTGGCACTCCAGGGAAGTGTACAGAGCACATGCCCAGGTCTGGCCTCAACTCTTTTTTCTTTCTTTTTTTTTTTTTTGTGGTACTTGGGTTTGAACTCAGGGCCTCATGCTTGCTACACAGGTGCTTTACCACTTGAACCACACTGCCAGCCCCTGGCCTCAACTCTTAATTGCTGAAGTGAGTGAGGTGCGTGGCCTGGGTGGAAAGAGGCAGCTCTGGGATGCTGGGTACACCCCTTAATTAGGGCTCAGGCACCAGACTTGAAATAAAGTTAGATAAAGCGTGGACTTTACTAATTGCCCTCTTCCTTAATCACACCTCTCATGAATGCTCATGGTTTAAAAATGGGATCAGGTGGAGGAGGTTAACTGACTTCTCTTCTAGCTTAGTTTTCCACTTGTGTTTGTTTTTTTATTAAGTGTTTATAAAACTAACAGGCCTCCAACATGAAACGCCTTAGACTTAGACTGCTTGACAGGCCAAGGAGCTAAGAAGTGAGCAGTGACAGCACCACCAAGCTAAATGCAAAATTAAAACTAATTTTTCATAATGAAGTTAACAGAAGGTCATGGACTGGGGAAGCTGCCACAGCCAGCAAGGACTGAGAGCAGCTTGCAGACTTTCAAGAAGAAAAGTTTCCACCAATCTTGATTGGAGCTCCCTAAACACTGTAAAGTAGGAAGGAAGTTACAGAAAAGAAAACCGAAGTTCAGAGAGGTCCAGAGTCTAACCCAAAACACACAGCTGGAATTCAGGCAGGGATGTCAGAAGGAGCCTGGGCCTCCACCACTTTCAGTGCTCAGGCAACCCCCAGACACTCACTGACTGAAAGTGAGTCTGTCCTCCTCCTCCATCCCCGTGGTCACCACCTCTGAGGCCAAGACCCATGCATTTGGTTCCTGGGAAAGACACAGTCAAGAGGGCCACCATTTTTGGCCCTCTAAAGTACATGGCATATCCTTTGTGGCCCCAGTGATCGGGCCACCTTGGGACATAGGTGCTCTCCTTGGTGGATAAATGGGACAGAGAAATGTAGAGAAACCTCTCCTCCACACTGGGCACCCCCCGCCCACACACAGTCTGCCCTCAGTTTCTCCAGGACAAGTATCTGCGTGCCTCTGTTTACTCACCTGTAAAGTGGAGTGAAGAGCCTCTGCCCTTCACAACCCCGCCGCTGAGTGGCAAGCTGAGGGGAACTGAGGAAAAGCCTACCTGTCTGGACAAGCCCAGCACCAGGCCCACCCTTGTGACCTGCAAGGTCTATGGCTGAGTTGCACTCTGATCACTGGCTCCCCAGATCACATGGCTATCAGCAGGAGGAGACACCACAGGTGAGTCTGTCCCAGCCCCCAGAGCCAGGAGCCTCAGGTCACAAGGATGTCTTTGGGTGAGTTGGGGCAGCCTGGATTCTTCACTTCATAGCCAGCAAAGTGACAGCTGTCCACCTTGGAGCAAACAGGCTCCTACCCTCAAGTGACAGAGTTCAAACCCCTTGCCCCATTTGCTTCCTACCATCAACTCAGTAACTATTTAATGAACATTTCTTCTAAACATTTTCAAGACTTTTTAAAAGTCCTGGCAAAGTGACAGGAGTGTAACCCATGCAGGATCCCAGGTAAATTCTTGGAAGGGGAAGTTGCTACCCTCTGTGAGGTTTGGCACAAGTACCAGCCTTGGGTCCCTGCCCGTCAGGGTAGGGTCTCACAACAGACCTTGCAGGTGCCCAAAGCTGAGATTCAGCAACCAGTTAGCAACCCTAGAGTGAGACATCTGCCCAGATGTTTTCAGGAGCCCCAGGTGGGAGCCCAGACACTGGCAGAAGCAGCAGAGGGAAGAGGTGGCCTCACACTGGGACTCACCAGTGTTAGTGAGAAGGGCACTAAAGCCAGCTTCACCGATACTGCTCAGCCCTCACTCGTCCAGGGGCCCAGGGGCCCCCTTCCCCAGCCTCATCTGTGCATTTCACCACTTAACAGCAAAGATCTTGCCAACCTCTGAGGCATGGGGCAGAGGAGGGCTTTCCAGAGGCTCAAAAGCTTACCCCACTATCCCGAAGGACGCGGGGTGGTGACACTGTGATATGGTAACCAGGCCCCTTATAACAGACAGAAGAAGCCTGGGGAACAAGCAACCCCCTCCCCCTACAGAAGACATAGACTGCAGGGGCTGAGCCTATGGGGGAGGGGTGTTCATGCCTCACATTTCTGTTATTGCCACCTGAGGGACGGGATGGCATATACGAGAAACCTTTCGGTGTTTCAGACCTCTCCCTGAGGTTGGCGGAGAGTTTCGCAAATGGTAAAATGAGGGGGGGCTAGGCGCACCTCTGTCTCCCTGGACATACAAGACAAGAGTTTCAAGTCTGAAAACTATTAGCTGTACTGTGCTTTTTATGTACTTATTATTTTTCAGTTTTTAAATTGAGGTATAATTTATGCATTTTTAAAAAATAAAGGTAGGCCGGGCGTCGGTGGTTCATTCCTGTAATCCTAGCTACTCAGGAGGCAGAGATAAGAAGGATCGTGGTTCCATGAAGCCAGCCCGGGCAAATAGTTCGTGAGCCCACATCTGGAAAAAACCCTTCCCAAAAAAGGGCTGGCGGAGTGGCTCGAGGTAATGGCTCTGAGTTCAAACTCTAGTACGGAGGGTGGGGGGGAAGATAACTGCATCCCAGGACGCTGCGCTCGCTCCACAGCAGGAAGGGCCTGCAGCTTTGCTTTCCCCTTCTGCCCCCACTCCCCCAACATCCCCCTCCCTCCCCCGTGTCAGACCCAAGGCCACCGGGAAGTTCCGGGCCATCCAGGCCCATGGTGGGTCCCGGCGATCCGGCTCACTCAGGATGGAGGAGGCAGGCGTCTGTTCTGCTAACGGGGCCTGGCCGCTGGACCCCAGGATGAGGCTCGTGGGCAACCGCACGGGACCCCCAGAGGAGCTTAGGGCCCCAGAGCCAGCGCGCATTCGAGGCGGACAGCAGGACGCCTTGGCCGAAGCTGGGCAAGTTCGGAGAGCGACAGCAGGTGAGGGGGCGGCAGGTGCCTGGGGCAAACCCGCGGATTGCGGGGAGGGAGCTGGGTCCTGCGGTCCCCGAGACTTAGATCTTGGCCTGTGTCCCAGCCCTGGGACTTCCGGGACCCGGCTGCCCTCAGGGGAGCTCGTCCAAGTGCAACCTCCGCGGCCGCGAGGGCGCACCGCGCGGCCACCTCGGCGATCCGCCGCACGCAGGACCCACGGAGCCCGCACCCGGACGGAACGCGGGGTGGCCGGGCTCCCGCTGGGGCGGCGGGCGGGGTGGGGTGAGGCGGGCCGGCCCCCTCCTCTCCTCCCGCGCGCCGCCCTCCCTTCCTCCGGTCCTGCAGCCAATTAGACGGCCCCCTCGGGCGGGAGGCGTGGGGCGCTCCATAAAGCGGCGCGGAGCTGTCACCCCGCGAGCAGGCTGCACACCGCCCAGGCTGAGCCGGTGTGCCGCAGACTCGGGCGCCTCGGATCGAGGAGCGCGGAGGAGCCATGGCCACCACCAACGGGGCCGTGGAAAATGGACAGCCGGACAGGAAGCCGTCTGCCCTGCCGCGCCCCATCCGAAACTTGGAGGTCAAGTTCACCAAGGTGAGGTGGGCGTCCCTCCCACCCGACTGGGCAGCCTGGTGGGGGGCGCGGGGCAAGTAGCCAGCCGGCTTGGAGTCTGCCGGGGGCTCTCTACATGCAAACTTCCCTGGGTGGAAACTCGTGCCCCAAAGCAGGATCGAAGGCTGCGGGTTGCTAAGCCCCAAAGCCGAGCGAGGGAGGCGGTGCCAGCGTTGCGCGGCGCTAGGTTGTGGCCCCGACGTAGTCCGCACTGCCCAATTTGAAGGCGAGTGGAGGTGCGCCCTTCGGCGACTCAGAGGGCAGTGGGCTCTGCGCAGATCCTAGGGATGGTTGAGAGGGTCAGAGGTGCCTGAGGACGTCAAGAACAAGTCTGAGAGCACGAGCCTCCTGGGGAACTGCAATCGAAAATCAGGTCCTCTGGAGCCATGGGAGAAGTGTCTGGCACCTTCTGTCCTTAGTCTGTACCCAGCTTACCAGCAGAGCTAGGGGGAGAAGGAAGGAGTTCGCTGATGATCGCGTCCCCAAAGGTTGCAGAGCTGGGCCCAGGAAAGTCCACCAGTGACAAGGCCAGAGCGCCCGGGCCCAGTCGTGCCGCCTCTTTGCGCTGTTTCCTGGGAGGCTGGAATGCTGACTGAGCCCTGAGGTCACCTGTCTGGGAAGAAAGGAAGATGGTGATGAAACCCGGGAGTGAGCTGTGAAAGCCGCAGAGGGGAGCGATCCCGAGGGAGGACACCCCCAGGCTCTCTGAAACGCGCAGCTCTGAGAGGGCTGGACGCGGGGCACTTCAGGGGCGCAGGCCCAGAGCAGCCTTTGGCGTCACTTCTGGAAATTTAAGCAACTCTTATTTTTTGCGTCTTTTCCATAGTTCTTAACTCCAGCGGACACACGCTTAGAAAATTCCCTCATCAATTTTGTTTTCAAAAGTAGCAGTGATGTCTCTCAAATAATGTTAATCAAGAGGTGAAAGTGACATACCACTATGTGTGGCCTTCAAATTTTCGTCTCCTGTCACTTAATTCCTAAGACATTTAAATTACATGACATTTAAATTAACTGTGTTCCGAGAGCTCTGTAATCAACCCTGTAAAGGCTGAAAATTGTTTTTACTCTAGTTTCCTTAGTCGTATCAGCTTCAGAGAGAAAATTCCAGAACAAATGTTGGAAACAGTAAGAATAATGGCTTTGGGGTTTTTAAACCTTAACGCTCTGATACCCTGCCGATGTTGGTTTTGGTGATGGTGTTTTGTTTTGTTTTTATAGAGTCCGGTAAAACTTTATAGAAACCAGAAAGTGAAGATATGATTGTCCCTGTATTTTGTACCTATTCAGTCTGTTCAAAGCAATTTGGCCACATATGAAAAATCTGCCTCTTTCTTGGCATTCCCTTACGATCCTTTATGTGCGTAAATGCACATAAATCCTTAATTTAGGAGGATCTTGGAAGGTTCCCAGGGCAGTGAGTGACTGTTGTCCTGGTGGCAGCGCCTTCTTAGCCTTTTACACAGAAAGGGTGTGTGATGGAGGATAAGAAAACCTGGTGAGATGAAGGCCTGAGAGCAGTGATTCCCAGGGGCCTCCAGGGATGATTGCTCCAGCTGCCTGTTGCCAGGCTGCACCTTCCATACCCATGCCTGTTTTGCCTGCTCTGTCCTTGCTCCTAGTCTACCCTGCAGAGGTCTGTGCATAGCAGTGAGGGGCAGGACCACCTGTGCTGCTGAGGATGGTGGCTGGGTGGTCAGGGAGTTTCAGACTGAGAGGCAGGAGTGGGGGATCTTGAAAAGCAGAATGGAGACCAAGGGCAGGCAGTGGCCGGGTGGAGCATGTGAGCCAGCAATGGCCTGCTGTTTTTCAAAAGTGACTCATGGTGCTTCTGCATCATGGAGGATCCGTTTGAGCACAAGCCTTGGCGGCCTGATTTCCCAAGGGAATCCAGCTTATCCAGAGAGGATGAGATTTTATCAATGGGCCCAGGGTCATGGGATCTGAGTCTGGTGAAGTGATGGTCCCACTGGGTCCACATACAGGTCTCAGAGGATAGCAGCCCTTTTCATTTTGGGGGACCTCTTTCTCGATAAAAGTTTCTTCCAGTAGAAGAGAAGAAATGGTTCATTAAAATACCAGTTTTTAGGGTTGGAGATTTAGCTCAGTGGAAGAGCGCTTGCCTGGCAAGTGTAAGGCCCTGAGTTCGGTCCCCAGCACCGGAAAAAAAAGGAAAAAAAAAAAATACCAGTTTTTATTATCTCTTTCATGAAAAACTAAAAATCCCCCAAATCTCCTGAAAAAAATATTTCTTTTGAGTTTAGCTGAGTGGCCAATGTAAGTTACTGGAAACAGTGCCAGCAGGATTCACTTGGGCGACCTCCACCTTTATCTCCACCAGGGCACCTTCCACCTCAGTTCTGATCCTTTGGTAAAATGTGAATTCTGTCTACAAACTCACTGTAGCTTTAATTTTATGCCCAATGTTAATTTCATACCAATTCATAAGTAGAGGGGAACAATTCCTTTCTAGACCCTTCATCTTGATTTGAGGTTCAAACCAATTCAGCCAGCATCATGGACAGACCAAGTTCACTGATGCTTTCCTTATTTATGTTTGCTTTGTTTTAGCAGAGAGAAAATCAACAGAAACCCCTTACAAGATTACTTATTGGGATAGGATAAAGAAAATAACTTTGCAACATTGTGACGAGAAACAGTTGTTTCTTTCTTTCTTTTTTCTTTTTTTAAGTTGTTTAGCAAGGACTCCAGATCAATGTCAAGATCAACCAAGTAATTTTTTCTTGGAGGAGTGTGCTTAGAGATAGAGTGGAGCAGACATCTGATCATTGCAATCTGTTTCCAACCCCCCCCCCACTTAGATTCTGTTTTGTCACCTTCTCATTTTCCCTCCGCCCCTGGAATTGATACCAGGAAGGACCTAGAATCAGCAATTTTCACTGACAGTCTCTATTATCTAAAGCCACGAAATTTCATCTTCCTTCAAATGGGCCTCTTCCTGGCTACCCTTTCCTCCCCGCACTAATTTAACTTCTCGTTCCTACTTATTAATCTCTCGCTGTTACTGAGTGATTACTTGCTGCATAGCAAAAGTGAACTCTTGGATTTGGTTTCAGCTGGAAGAATAAACCTGTAATTGTAGCCTGGCCTTTTCCTCGCACATTTCCCTGGGGCCCTGGCCTCACTCAGCTGGAAAGCGCTGAGCTTCCAGAAGTTGGGCGGGTACATCCCACTAGTGTTGGGTGTTCTTAGCTCTGGGCTACCAAATATGGGGCAGGTGGTCTCTGCCTACCTGCCCAGCCAGAGCCTGCTCTCTGTGCATGGTCCCAACAGAGGAAGACCGGGTGGGCTTCCTTCCCGATGAGCTGCAGAGCTGTCACAAGAGGGCCTAATGCAGAGAAAGTAATTAAACTGCCACCAGCGGGGAGTCAGGTGTTCCAAAGGAATCAACTTGACAGTCCTTGACATTAGCCCATGTAGTGACACATTTCTTCTTCTTCTTCATTTTTTTATTTGTTGGTGGGACTGGGGTTTGAACTCAGAGCCTCATGCTTGCTAGGTAGGCACTCTACTGCTTGAGCCACTCCACTGACCCTCTTTTGTGTTGAGTATTTTCAGGGTAGGGTCTAGAGAGAACTGTTTGCCCAGGCTGGCTTTGCACTGCAATCCTTCTGATCTCTGCCTCCTTGAGTAGCTAGGATTGCTGGCCTGAGCCACTGGCACCCAGCACAATTCTTTTTTTAAACAATTCCAAGAGAAGCAAAATAAAGGTGCATGGACAGAATATGCATGTAGACGTGGAGATGGAGTGAGAGGTTTTGTTCTTTGAAATGGTTGCTGGCATTTTAATCCAAAGCCAGCTTCTGAGGTGAGCTAGTTATGTCTGCCCTGCAGTCTTTCCCACACAGGATGTGCGGCCATGCTGAGACTTCCAAAGGTGCAGCAGGAGCATTTCTGTCCCCTAGCTGTGCAGTGGGAACCTCTGTGCAGTCAGAACACGCTTTGTATGTTATTCAACTGTTTCTAGTACTTTTCCAAAAGCCCTCTCTTTTAATGTGATCCTTTTAAGGCAGTAAACCAAGAATAAATAGCACATACATTCAAGTGCCTGGGCTTTAAATTCTTTTTAGTTTGCTCGTGACTTTTTTTTTTTTTTTTTTTTAACATTCTTATTGTTGGCTCTGTTCTGGATAATTGAGGATCCCAGGAAAATGATTTTTGAGTTACTTGTTTCTGGCTATACATGGTGATTTTAATATAACCTAAAATTTTCCTAATCCAGAGATTTAACTTTTAAATATTCCAACATGGGAGTTTTATCAAGTTCAACAGGACAATAAACATTTTAAAGGGAATGCAGGGGAGCTGTGCTACTGTGCATTAATGAAGCCTGCTGGGGCTGTGGGAGACCTCATTTATGGATGTCCTTGGCAATGTGGCTGAGGATTGCTGCAGGGGGTGGGGCACTTACAGCTCTCGCAGGGCCAGGTGGATTCCTGCTTAATTTTCCCCCAAAGTCCAGGAGGGTAGAGAACCCCATTTACGCCCTCCATGTAACTATGTAGTTCAGTGATTCCTCTGCATCTGTCAATCTCCATCATTGCTACAAATACTTATAATAATGATTTAGAAAAAAACCCCTACATGACCTTAGTTTTAGTATGACAGTGTGGGTGCAAACTCTGAGTCTTTCAGTTGCTTTATGTGATTTTGTGTACTTTGTCCTTTTCCAGGTTTCATCTGTGAAACATCCAGGGGGAGGAGGGAGAGGAGGGAAGAAGGCTGACAAGACGTTACCTAAGATCCTTAGCATGTTGAAATTATGATTTTGATTTAAACCTAATTTGTTGTACTTCCTCTCTGGTCAGATATTTATCAACAACGACTGGCATGAATCCAAGAGTGGAAAAAAGTTTGCCACATACAACCCTTCAACTCTAGAGAAAATATGTGACGTGGAAGAAGGAGATAAGGTGGGTCCTCCCCTCCCCCTACCCCAATAATTCAATTATAGATAAGCGAAGGATAAGGAAGTGGTGTGACTTAGTAAGACACATGGGCCCACCCTCGGGGTAAGGCCCTGGTAACCAAACCAGCCCGACTCAGACACATGATCAATTACAGACAGGCTTCTGCAAAGAGTCATCCTTCTTTGATAGCTGTTTATCCATCTACGAGGATGACCTCAGCTATTCTTGTCACATGGCTAAAGGAAAGGTTTCAATCAATTATTAGAACTTGGAGGCATTAAAGGATCTTTCCAGAAAGCATTTCCGGCTGGCGTGTTTCACCAAAAGCCAGCATGCTGGTAGGAGACACTTAAAAAGGAAAAAAAAAAAAAAAAAGACTTCAGGCAAAAAAGACTTGCTTCCCAGGTTATGTGGCAGTGGTAATAATGTCATGTGACCACCAGGTCACTTTTCTACTAGAAACTTATTTCATCACGCTAAGCTGTAGTCTGCATAGATCTGTTGGTTAGTGCGTGGTCACTTGTATCATAAAGGAAGTAAGGGATTTTGGATTCGTCCTTTTAACAATTTCAAGGTCACAAGGAATATTTCGAATGGAAGTGCCATTGAAGCAAATTTCAAGGTAAAGATCACAGAGGGAAGGAAACACGATCGTTTCATAAAAGTTAGAATGCTCAGCTTTCCTTGCTTTCTTGCCTCCCTCCCTCCCTCCCTCCTTCTTGCTTTCCTTCCTTCCTTCCTTCTTTCCTTCCTCCCTCCTTCCCTCCCTTCCTTCTTTTCTCCCTCCCTCCCTCCCTCCTTCCTTCCTCCTCCCTTCCCTCTCCTCCTCCTTTCCTTCCTCCCTCCTTCCTTCCCTTCCTTCCTTCCCCCTGCCTCCCTCCCTCCCTTCCTTTCCTTTTCTTTTTTTAAGATGGGCTCTCACTGTGTTGCCTAGGCTGGTCAAACTCCTGGACTCCAGCGATCCTTGTAGCTCAGCCTCCCGAGTAGCTGGGACTACAGGCAATGGACAGATATTCTTACTCAGTGTACTGGTGATGTTGAAATGGATGGAGTGAAGGATGTGTGAGTACAGTAGAGCTGGGTTTTCTTCCACCAGTGACAGTTGTGTCATATGTGTGCAGGACACTTGTTTACCTGCAGAGGCCCTCCTTCCTGTGACTTTTTGTGCCAAGCTCCATTTACAAAGAAAGTAACAGTGGAGCTGTGAGAAGCTGTGAGGGCACAGTGCAGACTGGGACTCCCAATCGACAAATCCCAGGTTCTCCACACAGGTATCAGGAAGGAAAATGTGTTCCTTGCCCAAAGACAGTGGTCATCCTGTCCCTGAAGCTGGGGATGTCTTGGTCTCCACCCCAGAGCCCAGAACAAAGAATGAATGCAGCATCCCAGCCTCTCCTGTGCCAAAGCCTTCTCTCACCCTGAGTAGACTTGGAAGACAGCCTTGGTGAAGTCCCCTCCTGACTGGTGTCCTGCATCCACTGCTACCGTACCTCCCTAGGCACAGAGGCTCAGAGCAGCCTATCGGTGAAACATTGCCTGCCATCAGCCAGACCCTTGGAGCATATTTTTCCTGAAAATGAGGATAGGTGCTGCTCTTTTAAAAAAGATTGAGAGGCCAGGCATGGTGGTGCATACCTTAATACTCGGGAGGTAGAGATACGAGGATCGTGGCTTGTGGTCAGCCTGAGAAAAAGCAAGAGAAACTATCTGAAAAGCAAGCTAAAGCAAAAAGGGCAGAGAGTGTGGCTCAAGTGGTAGAGCATCTGCCTAGCAAGCCTGAAGCCCTGAGTTCAAATCTCAGATCCACCACCACCAAAAAAAAAAAAAAAAGAAGATTGAGGACTGGGGGTGTAGCTCAGTGGTACAGTAGAGCACTTGCATAACACACACACACATCCCTAGCACAGACAAAAAGGTTCTGATGTAATTATTTTATCAGTGCAAAAACAAAAAAACCCAACTCCTTATCTATAATATGGTGTGACAATTCTGTCCCCATGGGGTACGTGAAGCCAAAGGTAGAAAACAGTTTTGTGTAGTCACTGGCCCTCCCTGTCTGCAGACTATCCTGATGTGGTCAGTTATTCAGTCTACAGAAACACAGCCACTCCCCCTCATTCTTGGGCCACAGTTCTCAGCTGGAATAAAAAGCCAAGACAGATACTCCCCACCCAGCTTGTGATGGGAGAGGGGGAGACGTTGTGTGTTCAAACTGAGGTAGCATGTAGAAAATCTGTGCATTCTTGACTCACCAAGAAAAACACTCAAGGGAAGTGACTTCATGAACTATTTATTTTTGACAGTTTTGGGGTTTGAACTCAGGACTTTGTGTTTGCTAGGCAGGCACTCTTCCGCTTGAGCCACTCTGGCAGCCCTTTTTTCGTGTTGGGCATTTTCAAGATAAGGACTCTCAAACTGTTTGCCTGGGACTGGCTTTGAACTATGATCTTCCTGATCTCTGGCTCCTCAGTAGCTAGGATTACAGGCGTGAGCCACCAGCACCTGGCTTATAAAATATTTTTAAATGCTCTTCTAATCAGAAAGGAGGTTAATACTTGGTCATTGTAGGTAAAAATCTTAGAAAAGACTTAAGATGGTGACAAAAAGTCACTTGATGACCCCAGCCGTCCAGGTGACTTAAAACTCACTGCTGTTTGCAGCTTATTGCCGCCCTCCTTCCTTGGCTCTGTTTCAGGACAGAGGCAGGACACCACTGTCCTCTGTGGCTCCAAACTGCAATCCCTAAAGGTGACACACTCTCTCTGTCATTTTGGTCACTCAGCCCGATGTAGACAAGGCTGTGGAGGCTGCCCAAGCTGCCTTCCAAAGGGGGTCGCCATGGCGTCGGCTGGATGCCCTGAGCCGTGGACGGCTGCTGCACCAGCTGGCTGACCTCCTGGAGAGGGATCGTGCTATCCTGGCTGTGAGTACAAGCACCTGGGGCAAGCGTGGGAGGGCAGGTGTGTGACTGAGGGGCCTGTCGCCATAGCAGTGGCAGAAAAGATTGAGGGTGCTGGTTTAGTGTGGCTATTGGGTCTGTTTGGTCCTTGGGGGGAGGTATCAGGTGGCTGTACAACATGACTTCATCCTTTTCATTTTGAAGTCAGACTTTTGTCCGTCCCACCCCACACCCCCACCAGCTAAGCTTCTGGACCAAGAAATTGTCTAAAGGAAGTTTAGCTACTCACTGGTTCCCAGACTTGGGACATTCACAAATGGTCACCCCAGGCTTGGTCACATCCTGGTCCCACCTGGACGTTTATACATTAACTTTAATTGTTTTTTTCATATTAACTTCCTTGTAAAGGTAAATTTAACTTCATCCTAAATATAGCAGCCCCCTTTATCTGAGGTTTCACTTATTCAGGGTCAACCATGGTTCAAAAAAATTAAATGGAAAATTCCAGAAGCAAGCAATTCGTAAGTTTTAAGTAACTTTTACTATAGTATGTTGTCACAATTGCTCTATTTTATTATTAGTTATTGTTGCTAATCTCTTATTGTGCCTGGTTTATAAATTAAACTTTATTGTGGGTGTTTACTGAAGGAAAAGGCAGTCAGTCTGGGGACCAGTATTATCTGTGGTTTCCAGCACCCAAGGAACTTCATGGAACATAACCTCTGCAGATAAGGGGAACCACTGTAACAATATGTGTGAAAGCACACGTTCAATGTGCTCCTTGTGTTTTTTAAATACTTATTAAAATAAACCCCACTATTTATAGAAAAAAATCCCTATACGACTGACACCCCTAAACTTGTCAGTGGTGGGTGTTTGTAGAGTGTTAGAAAGGACGGGGCAGCCTGATTTTAGAAAATCTCAGAATGTGAAAGCTCTTCATGTAAAATGTCACCAAGAATGATATCTAAGTGTGTGAGAATGGTCCATTTGACATCCTTAGGGTCCCTGGTGTAGAGTAAGCACTAACTGATGACAGCTATTATTAGTATTAGTGGTTATCATAATAGTACTGTGAGAAGACCCAGGCTCTAGCCCCAGCTGCAGTAATTTTTGACTATCTTAATTCCTCAGCTGTAAGGTGGGATTTCTGGTGCAGCCTCGCCCCTGACGTTGACGGTTCCCATGAGTCAAGGCTATGAAGGCCATAAATTGTGAATGTATTAATTAATAAGATCCTGGTCTTGAAGTGGTGAGAGCAGGGGACATCTTGGGGCCACAGGGACCCTTGAGATTCAATGCAACCTGCACATCAGCCTTTATACATCTTTCTCCTGTTTCAAAACTTGTTCCAAACTTTGAGGCCAATTTGTAGGAAAGGAAACTTCCTTTTTGCCTGTGGTTTAAGAAAAAGTTTTTTTTGATGTTGGGAAGAAGGAGGAGAGAGGTCACTCTAGTAAAGGACAGTGTCAGCCAGGACACTAAGCTGCTTTTGTCCCCAAAAGCATTTCTTGGGGTGGAGGAGTTCTCAGGTGCATCTCCTCAAGGGCAATTGGCACAGAACCCCAGCTGCCCTTCCTTCCTGACAGTGGCCAGTCCCAAGTTCACCAGAATGGACTGGGGTGAGCATCACTTCCTCCCAGGGTAGGCACTTTGCAGAGCCTCTGGTTTCTTCCTGCACCGAGAGCCGGCCTTGACTCTTAGGCTGCAAAACTGGCTTTTTCAAAAACATTTCTGTTTTCCCCGGCGTGAGCTCATCGGTCTGCAATGTCCATGTGGACTAATAGCAGGCTGGAGAGACTGTGCCCTGGGCGCCCCTCCCCACGCTGTCCTCCACTGCCAGTGTCACCCCTAGAGCCAAGGCACAAGGCCACCTTCCTCTCCCTCCCAGCACCACTGCATTTTGATAGCAGATGGAGTGTGGGAGGAACTCCCACGCCACGCAGCAAATCGCTCCTGCCACCAGGCCCTGGCTGCCTAAAAGAAATAAGATCCAGCTCTTTACCACAACATGAAAGGGACAAGAGAATGACAGGCAAATATGGTTTTGAAAACTCCAACCACATCACAGGGAGGCTCTCCTCGCTCACCACCATACACCTTGGTATGGTTTCCTGTCTTTTCAATAGCAAAGTGTCTGTTTCTGCCATATTCTCTTGATGGCTCAGTGGTTTGATGGAGTTGGGTATTTGTTCTGTGTTCAATGTTTGAAAACAGATGTGGGAGGTCTGGTGACCCCGGAATTTCTCTCCCTTGCTGAGGCATCCAAGATCTGGCTCATTTTGGGGGGACTCCCAGACAAGGACTCCCTGTACAGAGTCTTCTTTTCAACTTGAGTGACATGTCTGCCCATTTGAAGTCTGGGCATACTGGCGGGGGTGGGGGACTGCCCTTAGCTCTTTTCTGTCCTTCAGCCTATAAGGGTGGTGTTGCACCAGTTTTCCTCTTAATATTAGTAAACAAAATTAACTTAGGAGTTTTTTCATGGTTGAGCCATGACAGACAATGGTTCTGATCAGTAGTTTACACTTGATTTATATGGTTCAGCCTGTAACTCACTCACTTACCTCTGAATTCTTTTTATCTTCTTTTTTTTTTTTTTTTGGCGGTACTGGGGTTTGAACTCAGGGCCTATACCTTGAGCCACTTCACCAGCTCTTTTTTTGATGGTTTTTTTTGAGATAGGGTCTCAAGAATTATTTCCCCGGGGCTGGCTTTGAATCGTGGTCCTCCTGATCTCTGCTTCCTGAGCAGCTAGGATTACAAGTGTGAGCCACCAGCACCTGGCTTTTTTTTTTAGAAAAAGTATTTTCTGTCTATACTTTTTGTGACCTGGCTTTTGCTTGGATAGATTCTATAAAATCAGCCTGGAAAATTCATTTTTTTTTCTCCTGTAAGCAATCTTGCTCAAATTAATGAAAGCCAATATTTGTTGAATGTTCACCCTATACCTGGCTTGTAGGCACATGACCTGTAGTGTTTATGATCCCATTTCAAAGATGAGGAAGCTGAGGCCCAGACAGGGTAAGTAACTTGTCCAAGTTCACCCAGCCAGAGGTGGAAAGTCAGGACTGGAGACAGATAGTTGGCTCCATACTACATCAGAGTCTCTCTCTGTCCCGTCCCAGGAAACAGAAAAGGACAATTGTCTGGTTCCATCAAGGATTTTTTAAGCTTTGCCTGGAGAACAAAAACTAACTTGCAATGTCGATCAGTAGGAGTCAGAGGTTCAGTTTACTGGGTGTCTTCTTGGCCTGACTTGGTTCTTAAGTGATATGCTAGGGGTAGGACAGAGACTCTGGACCCAAGCTAGTCTTGTCACCTTCAGCAGCTCTTAGCCCTAGCTCTGTCTCCCCAGGACCCCAGGTGAGGATCGCCAAGAACCAGTCTGACACCTAAAGGGAAAATGATAACAGAATTGTTTATCACCTGGACATTTGCAGAGCACTCACTGTGACCACACTGTGCTTGATGTCTTGTGTTTATTGGGTCCCGTAACTCTCACACCACCCCTATCATGGCAGTATGCTATTTTAAAGATGAGGAAACTGAGGCAGAGAGCGATTCTGGGATTTTTTTCCAGGACCAGGGGTAATCAGAAGAGGTTGTCTCCTCTTTAGAGGGGACTGAACGGGCAGTCACTGTGCTGGCTGGAAGTCAGACACCCAGAATTCGTAGCTGGCAGTCTGGTGGCCTCATCAAATCACTGGACTCTGTTAGCTCCACATCTGCACCTTAATATGGAAACAGTGATGTCCAGCTCGAGGTGGGTCATGAACACATGCTTTGGGGTGAAAGTACTGGGTTTGAGCGAGGAGGAGACCTTCGTTCCTTTCCATGGTATCCTCTCACTCCTTTGATAAGTGAGCAGGAATCCAGCCCTGGGCTGTATGTCAGGGTGACCACTTCCTGCAAAGATGGATGGCTGGCCATTTCAGCACGGGCTCCACTGGGGCTGCTTGTCTGAGGGACAAAGGGGTTCTCTTTTACCCAGGCTGGAAATAGAAAAGAATCCCTGCCATTGAGTAGTGCACACTTGCCTGGGGACCCACCTCCCTCCTCAGTCTGGCAAGCACACTCCCTCCCAGCTCTGCATCCGGCTGTGACAGGCTTGGGAAGCATTGCATCTTTGTGCTGGTGGCACGACCCTCCTGGGCTCAGTCATTCTTTCCACAATCATGCTGGCCAGCCCAGTGGAGAAGGAATAACCGATGTCTCCTCTTTCTCTTTTGTTAGAGGAAGCTAACCAAGCTTCTGAGAGTGCTAGCCAAGCTTCTGAGAGTGCTCCTGTGTCTGGGTCACACTGCTGGGACCAAAGGATTGCTTTCCAGCGAGACTTCAAATGAGCCTTCAAGGGGGTGTGTGCCTATGCTCCACCAGCCCTGGCCATCAGGAGTCTGACAATAAAAGTGGTCCTTGTCAATATGGGACAGGTCAATTTTAATTTAGTGCCAGGGTCTTTGAGTGACACATGGGGCTGAGGTCTGGAGAGCAGTTCCTGGGACTGTGTTTTTCTCCTTCCCAGTTGCCTTCAACTACCTGAGAATTAAAGAAAAGAAAGCCACATCCACAATGGATGTCATCTTGTTATTGCAGACACTGGAGACCATGGACACAGGGAAGCCATTCCTTCATGCCTTCTTCATTGACCTGGAGGGCTGTATTAAGACCTTCAGATATTTTGCAGGGTGGGCAGACAAAATCCAGGGCAAGACCATCCCCACAGGTGAGTCCATGCCAGATAGACTCTACCCTCATTTGGGAGTCTCTTTGGAGACTCTGTCTTTTCCTTCCTCCAAAACCCCTCCAGGACTTTACCCCTCAATGCATTCTGCCAAGTCTCCCCATGACAGTTCACATTGAACTTGGGTTCACATCACTTCTTTTTGTAATAGACATGACTTGGAGCTGGTTGCCTTTGTGGTGGTGTCTCAGTTTCTTTCTTGTCTTTTTAACCACTTGAAATTTTTGGCCCTGGTTAAGTGAGTGTGTCCTTTCGCATTGTGTCACCTCTCTTCCAGATGACAACGTGGTATGTTTCACCAGGCATGAACCCATCGGGGTGTGTGGTGCCATTACTCCCGTAAGTATGGCAGTTTTTCTTGATAAATGGTTCTACCCCTTTGGAACTAATTCCTGATATGTTTTGGTCCACTGAGCATGTACTTGGTGGCGTGGAGCTCGGTGCATGGGGACTCTTGAGATGGATTGTAGATTAGATCCTGTTCCTGTTTCCAAAAGGCTGAAATAAGGTGTGTAACAGAGGCATGGTATATTCTGGCTGGAGTGGCCATTGTTCTTAAGGAGGTGGTCTCTTAGCTGAGCCTTGAAGAAAGGAAAGCCTTGGTCCCTAGGAAAAGGGGTTTCTAAGCTGTAGGAATGCCTGGGCACATGTGTGGAAGTGGCTGGGCTACATGCAAGGAAGCAGAGGATGACTGGTGGGGCCAGAGTCCCACATGGCAGGTGACAGGGGCTGGCTTCAACAGCCTTGGCTGCCCAGAGGCCAAGACTTTAGTCATTGGGCAGTGGGATTCTTGTAGGTGCGCAGGGGAATGAAATGGGGTCACCTGTTGGTTGGGGAAGTTCCAGGTCAGCTCAATGGCAACTGCATGAAATGAGGGTTGAAAAGGTGCTGTACAGCCAGGTGTGGCGGTACTCACCTATAATCGTAGCGCTTGGGAGGTGGAGGGAGTTTAAGCCAATATAGCAAGACCCTATCCCAAAAAATCCCAAAAACCCAAGGCAAGGAGAACGTTACCCTTCCAGCAAAGGTTTTGGAGGGAGTAACAGTACTCATACAGCAACTTCACCTTTGCAGAGGGTACACATTATCACCTCGCAGAGTTCAGTTTGGGAAGCTGGGCAGGAATGCATTCTGATCATTGTACACTCCTATGTTACCCGTGAAACCCCAAGAAAAGCAAGTGGTCTCTATGGCGGCATCCTTGGGGCTCTGGAGTGGGGGCAGGGTGGACCCAGGTCCCCAAGATCCTTCCTGTGCTTTGTCGCAGTGGAACTTCCCCCTGCTGATGCTGGTGTGGAAGCTAGCGCCTGCCCTCTGCTGTGGGAACACCGTAGTCCTGAAGCCCGCGGAACAGACTCCCCTCACCGCCCTCTATCTCGGCTCTCTGATCAAAGAGGTAATATGCCTGAAAAGAAAATATTATGTATTCCTGATAACATTCCCACTCCTAGGAGCCAAACCACCATCCCAAGAAGTGACAATGGCTGCAGCTGAGAGCAGAGTGGGGAGGGCGGACTTTGTTTTCGTTGGCGGTTGGTTTTTTCCCTCCTGCTTGTGGTCCCTGAGCTGTAAGCAACACCACTCGCCCCACGGGCCTGATGGGAACACATCCCTCTTATTAGGACTCAAACCTGTGGTTTAGGACTCAATAAAGGTTTTCCGGGGCGGGGGGGGGGTCACCCAAGAAGACCAAATCTTCAGCTAGGCTCTTCAGCAGTAGTGTGTGATATGAAATGGTCCTCTTTCCTCTTGGAGGTGTGGCCTTGCCAGCTGGCAGGGCAACTACAGACACGGGAACTGTCATCAGTGCCCCCTGCTCTGAGGGCAGTCCCCCTACCCCCAGGAAGTCACAACTTGGGGAAACAACTGCCCAGATATCTCCTCCCAGACACAGCTGCAACATGCTTTGGTCATTCTGTCATCGGCCTCCATGTAGCAAAGATTTAGAAAAGAAAACAGGAGGAAAGAGGGGTGGCAGGAGTGGGCCACGCATTCCACTTCTCAGCAGAGCTAATGTCACACATGCTGTGTTGCTTAGGTGGAGGCTGGGATGACCTGTAATTACCACCTTTCACCCTCCTTCCACTGGGGATGCAGGACATGGTGTCTGTCGTGTTAATGACTCTCAGATTCTAAAATCATGACAGTTACAAGGCAGTGCTAGGAAGGTGAACCTGCAAGCACCAAGCCCTTGTGTTCAGTAAAGCACAGCATGGCAGAAGTGGTGTCCTCCTTCCCACTAGTCAGGAGGCCCCGGATGCGTAAGAAGGGCACTGCCTTCAGCAGGTGCCAGCTCTGCTATGAGTGACCAGACACGCAGAGGGCTTGGAGGGATGTTTGCTTATTCCATCTGGAACACCAATAGGGCAGATTAAAAATTGAAAACTGTAGCTCCGGAAGGGTGCTTTGCAGGTGCCTGCAGTGCTGGCCAAGGAACCTCTCCTGCCCTCGGTGTATATGTGCACACACATTCACGCCCCACACCCACACACTCAGGTACACACACTCATACACACATACTTAGGCACACACACATGTGCTTATGCACACACACTCACACTCATGTGCACACACACTCACAGACATGCAGGCACACACACATGCACATGCATTCTTAGGCACATATGTACACATGTGCTTGTACACATGTGCTTGTGCACATGCACCCACTCATTTACACACATCCACACTTGTGCACGCACACTAGTCTACACATTCATGCTTGTGCACACACACGTGTACCCATTCACGCTCATGCAACACACTTGTGTGCACACTTACACTTGTGCACACGTGTACACACGCTTATGTCCACATACATGTACACATGTGGACACATTTGCACACACACACTCACATACTCATATACAAACACAGAAACATACATGCTTTCACAGATATGTCCATATACAGTCACACACCCATGCTTTCTAATATGTACACGGTTACACTCACATAGACATACGTGTGCACACATACAGAGGTTCACACCCTCATGTACGGACACACGCATATTCACATACATTTTCATACATTCATATACATACATGCACTCACACCTACATACAACTCACTCGTGCTCTTGCACTGTCTCTCTCACACACGCACACACATGCACATTGGTGCAATGCTGCAGGAGGGCCACTGCCACCTTGTGGCCTCATGGTGCACTTGCTCCTGAGCCTCTGGTGGAAGCCCTTCCTGTAAGCCTGGAAGTCAGTGGACCTTCCTAGGGGCAGAGTTTGCACCTGGGTGGAGGTCAGCTCCCAGGTGCAGCTGACGTGTGCTTGTCCTGGGGAAGGTGTGTATGACCTGGGCCCCGATTCCTTGTGGAGATGCTGCTTTGTGTGGGGACATCACACAGCCTCGACCCTCTGGGCCCATGCACTGATTTGTGGCTCACACTGGTCTGTCCTCTTCCTCTGGTGCCATCTTGGTTTTCCTGCAGGTCGGGTTCCCTCCGGGTGTGGTGAACATCGTGCCGGGATTTGGGCCCACCGTGGGAGCTGCCATTTCTTCTCACCCGCAGATCAACAAGATCGCCTTTACAGGATCCACAGAGGTAACCCCCTTGTCAGTTACCAGCAGATGTGACCACAGCTATGTTACTTGACACCTGCCATTCCCTCTGAAAAGCTAAATATGATTTTTCTAGTACCTAACAATCAGTAATAGCCATTGGTCCAGTGTCTAAACTAAATACCTAGCTATTAGAACTTGAGAAGAAAAGGTTCAGAGAGAAGATAAAAATGTAAAACATCCAGAGGGCAAAGAACATCATAATTAGAGTGAAGAGTCAATAAACTGGGAGAAAAACCAGTTGTAATGCATGCATTTCTTCAAAGGATTTATATCCTTCATATGTAAAGTGCTCCTACAAATCAATGAGAAAAAAGGCAAACAGAGTGATGGGGAAATGAGTGTCTCAGAGAATAAAAATACTACATGCCCAATAAACCTAACCTCATTCACCGGCAGTCAGAGAAATGCAAGTTCAAATGAAAATCACACTCTCCTTTTGTCTGTCAATTTTGTAAAAATTGAAATTGAGAATATGGCATAAAGCGCTCTCACCTACACCATCTGTAGGGTAGAGCGTGAGATTTACGAGCATTGATCAAAAACTGCAAAGTGGACAGCTATGGATTCAGAAATTCTGTTTCCAAGAAACTTCGGTCCTTAGAGAAACACTCTCACAAGTGTTCACATATGCCTTATCTGTTCTGTGAGGTGTTTCACAGTCTTTATAACAAGGAAAGCTGTCCACAATCTCTTGTGAGGTACAAAAAAAGCAAACTGGGAAATTGTCTTCAATATTAGTAACAGTGTATGAATTGAACAGAGGGATTCCCAAGAAATTACTGTGCCTCCCTGGATTGGATCCTGGATATGAAGGACAGAGACTTCCCCTTTGATTAAGACGCAACTGCATGTGGAATTGTTTTTAATGACAAAATCATCAAAAGAGAAATGAATAAACACTTCCCATGCAGCAGTGTCCCCGTGTCCCTCCAAGTCTGGTCCAGCTTGCAGCCTGTGTCCTTTCCTGCACATCTGTTGGAAGAGACTGCCATTCCCTTTTTTGTCAGCTAGTGTGGGCATTGTTAGAGTCTGTAGGCCTTACTCTAAAGCCACCATGTCCCAAGCATGGCATTAGAACAGCCCCTGGCTCTCTGCATGTACCTGGCCCACCCTGGGGACAGCGGTCTGGCTCCTGCCCTCCAGGGGCACCTGAATCTTCCTCTGCCTTCTCACTCAGCAGAAGTGTAGCCCCGGCCCTGTCTGGCTTCTCACTACAAGCCCTGAGCTCTCTAGGTGACCATGGGCCAGCCAGGTGGCACCCTCTGTGCTCATCAGCTGACATCAGGAAGTGACCTCTGTGGCTCCAGGGACGACTCAGCCAAACTGTGTCTCCATAATGGGGGACACCCTGCTACCTTCGGCCAGGAGAACATATCCTAACACCCCATAAATCAAAAGCCTGGAGCAGACTGAGTTTGTTTTTTCACTTTCCCTGGGGACAAACGTCATCACTGTGGGTCAGTTCCACAGCTCATCATCCATGAACTTGCAGACTCTTTTCCCCCCAGTGCTGGGGATGGAACCCAGGGCTTTGTGTGCTAGGCAAGTGCTGTACCACTGAGCACCCCCATGCTGCATCAAGCTTGTTGATTTTTCAAATGTGCTCAGACCTCAGTGTGGGAAGACTTCAACCCCATCCATCTCTAGGCCTTGGCATTTGTTGCCATCCTAAGGGTTTTCCAGCTCTGATGTTCTTGGCACTTGGCTTTGCTTGTTAGCCAAGATGAGTGACCGGCATGCTGGGCCAGCCTCTCTCCTGCTACAGATAATGGAGAGACTGCCGGGCACCCTTGTGGTTGAGTCTTGCTACCTGCCATTTGATGGAAGGTTCTGGTTACCTCCTAGTGCACCGTTTTCATCCCACTACGTATGGTGGCCTCAGTCTTCAGCGGTGGCCTTTCCAGAGAATTGGTTCTTTTTCATCTTGAGGCCCAGGTGCCCTTCACCCTGCTTCCCTGAGTCTCAAAGCTTTCCTCAGATCACACCCAAGAGCCACCCATCACCACCTCCCCACACTGGGCTTACATAATCTTAGCATTATCGTCAAGGGGTGGTCCCTTGGTCCCCCAAGCCTTCAGCATCCTAGCTGGACCAGCCTGCAGGCCTCAGAGGTGTAGGCGCCAGGGCAGGTGAGCAGCTGCATGCCCGCTGGTGACTCCTTGGCCTCCCACCCATACCTGTAGGTGGAGTGGCTCACCCAAGGCCTCCAAGGCATCTGGTCTGTGAGAAGATGCTGGCCAAGGCCAGTGGAGTGAAGTGGTGGCAGCAACATCAAGGTCTGGAGCACCCTTGAGAGGCAGGTGGCCCTGGTCACCTTTGGGTCTGCCACCTCCAGGTCTTGTCCAGAACATTTGCTGATGTGCATGCCGGGGCCAAGTTTGCAGCATCCAAGATTTAATGTGGCTTCATTTTTATCCTGGAGGTTGGAAAGCTGGTTAAGGAGGCCGCCTCACGGAGTAACCTGAAGAGGGTGACATTGGAGCTGGGAGGCAAGAACCCTTGCATCGTGTGTGCAGACGCTGACTGTGAGTTGTGGCCCCTGTGGGCTTGGCTGGGGCTTCAGAGCGCCTAGAAATGTCTCTCACGTCCTGGTCCCAGCTCAGGACCCATTGAGAGGGAGGCAGGTACTCTACCAATGGGGGATGCTTTCCAGCTCAGGCCTGGTTCCTGCAGTCCCCCAGCCATGTACAGTCAGTGGACATCAGAAGGCCAGCTTTCTTACAAGATAGGAAGCACCTGGCCTACCTAGGTGGTAGCCAAGGGTCTGCCTGCTCTGCCCTCAAGTTGAAGTTCACCTTTCTGCTCTTGCAGAGCCAGAGCTGGGGCCGTGAGGAGTGGCCCCACACAGTGTCTCCTTCAGGCTCTCCTCTGCTGGGGAAGGACACGGCAACAGTGCTCCCCACTGTTGAGCATTCAGTGTTCTACCCTTGAGTTAGTATCTCCCTAGTGCTTCTGAAGAGTTGAGACATTTCTTCCTTCTTGTCTCCACCCTGACAAGTCAGAGGGGGATAGTGATGCTTGTAAAGTAACCCAGTGCTCTGGGGACTGTTTGTGTCTGTGCCACCTTTTCCTGGGAAAGCCATCTGCCCAGCAGTTTGTGTCTTTTTAGATACGCATGACCTAATATTAAAATATATGCTATTCTTGGCTGCTGTATCCACAGAGGGCAGAAAGGACCACACTGGGCATTCATTTACCAGCTGACAGGGTCATCTATAAAAAGGTGTGACTTTCCAAGTACTTTGAAGCACTTTTGCCTTAAAAATCAGCCTCCCCCACCTGTCCACTGGTACCAGAAATTCCTGTTGGAGAGAACGAAGTCTTCCATTCTATACTCAGATAAGGCTGGAATTGCAAATATCCCTGAGGGGGGGAAAATGACTGAACCAATTTCTCACTACAGTGTAAATGACTGATAGCAGTTTCTTTTCCTGAAGCTGGTTCCCAATGGAAGAGAAGATAGGATGGGGAACCAGCTCTGGGGAGGGGTGTGAAGATGGACTGCCCGTTTCTCACCTGGGTTTGTGCTCTCTTTGTGGTAGCAGCATCAGTGTTGCTAATGCTACATGGAGGAGTTCTGGGTGTCACCCAGTGAGACAGACCCACATTTGCAGCCTCAAACTCCCATCCCAAAGAGCTAGGTCTCCTATGTTTTGCATTCTTAGGCAACCATACTGGGAGTCCCACCTGCACTTCAGCTTGTCCTCTTGTCCTCCCAATGAGGACAACATCAGCAAAGCACAGGATGAGATCTGTGTAGGGGTTGGTTTTATAAGGCCATAAAAACACAACATGGAGTTCTTACTCCTCATCCAGGCAGTGCCAAACCACAAAATTAAATCCTGACATAATGTCAAGGGTGATATGCCACATCCCCACCGCTTCAGCCACCCCCCTTGCCCCAAACCCCCCAGCTGACTCCAGTCTGGGTGCAGGAAGTAGATTACCCATCTTAGAGAAGGGACAGTGTCAAGTTGGCCCCCAGCCCAGCCTCGGGGGTACAGGGAAGATGGAGGACCTTGTGACACTGTCCTGCTGGAGGACCTTGTGATACTGTCCTGCTGCTCTGTGGCATTGACTTCCTGCTCAGAGCCAAGTCAGGGTCCCTTGGGGCCACCCTAGTGGACCTGGAGCAAATCTCCTCCCAGTCCCAAAGCCACAGCTGTCTTGAGGCTCTTAACTCAAGATCTTGCATTTGCAAGGCATGCTATCCCACTTGAGCCACACCTCTGCCCTTTTTGCTTTGCTTATTTTGGGGGTAAGGTCTCCACGTCCTTCAGCTCTCCACCTACTTAATACTTGCCAAAGTGTTTTTTTTCCCACAGAACATCCGAAATGGGAAGCGCCCATTAGCATATTACAGGTACTGAGAAGTCCTGTAATCTGCAGATTTAACCCTAAACTTGATGGACCTGAAAATCCTTTTTCCCCACCCTCACTCTTTGGAAAATGCAGAAAACAAAATTAATTTCTGAAGCACAGCCATCTGGGGCCTGTTTTCTTGTGTGGGCAATTAGAGTTGCAGCTGTCGCCAGGCCTGCTTTAACAACTTAATCGCTTCCTCTTGCCTCGCCCGTCCCCCCAATCCCCCGCCTCCAGTGGACTTGGCAGTGGAGTGTGCCCATCAGGGAGTGTTCTTCAACCAAGGCCAGTGCTGCACAGCCGCTTCCAGGGTGTTCGTGGAGGAGCAGATCTACGCAGAGTTTGTCAGGCGGAGTGTGGAGTATGCCAAGAAACGGCCTGTGGGAGATCCCTTCGATGTCAAAACCGAGCAGGGCCCCCAGGTAACCCACTAATGTGTCTGAATCCATGGTTGCTCCTCTGGGGGCTGAAGTAGGCAGATGTATGGCCCCACCCAGGGTCTCTCGCTCCAAGGTCCCTCTGCCACTTGGGACTTTTGTTTAGAAACTGATCAACAATACACTCCCATCAGGAAATGGGGCTGGACTCAGGAGACATGGGGTCTAGGGAGGAGGCAGCTATTGCCAGGGAACAAGGCCAGCTGTCCATACCCTGCAAGCCTTCCTAGAGTGAGGTCCCCCCAGCAGAAGAGAGGCTGGACCCCAGCTGCAGAGCGCAGCCAGGGTGATGCCTGAACTTGTCTTGGCTCAGAGACCCCCAAGGCCACATGTATTACAGCACAAGATGACTGTGAGAAACCCGGATGGAGAAGCTCTGGGGAGGCTCCCCGATCTGGGCAGTAGGAGCGTCCCTACAGGCCTGGTTTGGGAGCCAGGGACGGGATGAAAATGACCATAACTATGAAGTTTAATAGCGTTTTTTTAAAGGGCACATCCTGTATCACTTTCTTGCTAATTACACTGTCAAGCAGATGGATAAATATTTAAAAGAGGACTGCCTGCTCATCCCGTGCATTACTGAAAGGGAACTCGGCGCCACCCGCTGTGGTTTTTCTTTTCTTTCTTTTTTGCCAAAGTCTTTTGCCCAGAAGTGCCAAGTCATGGGTTTATGACAGACCCACTGGCATCTATTCTGGAAGGTTGCAGCTTGCCCACTGCATTGGCACCATGTGTTTACACAGGAAGCTGTTGGTCTGAGCTCAAGCTTGATTCTGTGGCTTTGTGAAAGTAACAAGGTCTTCATCTCCTTCAGTTTCCTTACCTGGAAAATGGGAGGAGGAGATAAATGAAATATTACGAGAATTTCATGATGCCTAGTATACTTGAGAAAAGGTAGTTTTTAAAATTTATTTATTTTTTTTTTTTGCGGTACTAGCATTTGAATTTGGGGCCTACACCTTGATTTTTTTTATTTTGAGATAGGGTCTCACAAACTATTTGCCCAGGCTGTCTTCAAACCACGATCCTCTTGATCTCTGCCTCCTGAGTAGCTAGGATTACAGGCATGAGCCACCAGTGCCTGGCTTTTTTTTTTTTAATTTTTAAAAGGGAGGAAATTTAACTGACGATTCTCTGATTTAGATGTGACTTCAGCTATATTGTTCAGCCTTGCTTAGCCATCCTGTGAGGACACTGGCTGGGGAAAAGGGGACAAGGTGAACTTTTATGGCTGCCATGCCCTGGCCCACCTGCTCTGTGGCTTTGATGCCATGTATCCCTGGCAGAGAAGCAGTTTCACTGTCCCCAGCCTCAGCTAGTGCCACAAGGTGACCAGTGACCCTGGTTATTATGAAATCCACCATGACTTTTAGAACCAATCTAGAATCTATGGGAAATAGTTGAGCTATCTCCCCCACACCAAGGACCCCTTTGTACCCTGTCATTAATTGTAAGTCTGTTCCCAACGCTGCAGTCTGAACTCATGAAGCCAGAGACACAAAGATCTTCCCAGAGAGCAGGTCTAAGGGGAATGCATGTTGATTTCATCCATGTTTTCATGCCGTGGTTCAAAGTCCTTCTGAAAGCTCACTTAAGCCATCTAACCTCAGCATATTATTTTAGGATGCTGCTTATTTTTTTTTTTTCCTCCCAAAGTGCCTTTTCATCTATGGTAATAAGATTTTACTGGGAGGACTTACAGCTGTCTAAATAATCCTGTCTGTCTCATGCTTATAAAAGAGCTTGCTAACCCAGATCAGTGACCACTGCTGGACAGTCACTTGCTAGAATGCTCCAAAATCATTCAGGTTTACTTGGCAATAGAATAGCCAGGCACATAGACATTGCACAGGCCACCTGACCGGAGCAGAATCCGGAGTGTCCTCCCGGCAGAGAGGGCTGAGCACAGCCGTGGGCCAATCCTTTGAGGGCTGTATTTTCATGTTTCTGGTGTTGTGCCCTACTCTGTCATCTCACTTCCTGGCAGCAACTTCTTCCCGCAGTATGAGGCACTAGCAGACAATTATGGATGATTATGAGGTTTAAACAATGTGTTCCTTCGACTCACCAGGGAGAGTGAATGTGTAGGGTTTTCATGGGACACAGAGCCGCCTTGTAGGACAGATGGGGTCTTCCAGGTGGACATGGTTAGCAGCCAGCCAGGACCTGTGGCTGGAGAAAGGCCCTTGAGTGAGCTCTATTGGCTCCCAGGGAGAAGAGAGAGGCTCAGTAACACCTGGAAGTTTTAAGCCAAGGTTTAGTTCATCCTGCAAAAAGCTCAAAGGACCTGCAGCTAGATTCAGTGAAGTTGTTTTCCTTATTTTTCTTAAGTGGGCTCCCACGCTTGTAGGGCTGAACTCAAAACACCTATTAAGGTCCACAGGGAAAGGGTGCACCCCCCCCCAGCCTTCCCACCCTCTCATCAGTATAACTGCTCTTCCCCTCCCCCACCATGTTTCTGGTGGATCGCTCTAAAATTTCTTTATGGGTATCAAGCGAATGTAATCAAGCAGTCTGATTACTTTCTTTTACAAAGTAGTAACAGTTTTATTGAGAGTGTATTGTGTGAGAGACTGAGTGAAGGCAGGAAGTACACTCCCAAGGAGGGCAAGAGCCCCCCCACCCCCATATTTCTTTATGAAGGGATACCATGATAGCGCTATGGTTTTGCATCTTGTGTATTGCTCCTTAACAAGAAACTCCAAGAGCCTCTAATACTTGTCCATAGGCACCTGCTTTGCTCTTTCCCACATGCAAATAGATTTCTGCTGGATGAAGCCACCAAAACTCTCCCACCCACCCCTGCCCCTGGCCCCACTGGGTGCTGGGGATGGAACTCAAGGCCTTGTGCACATGAGCTAAGTGCTCTACCACTGAACTCCATCCCCAACCCCTGATGCAATTTAAATAATGTCTTCTGACCAGCATAGGGGTATGTAAATCACAGTGCTGCAGAGTGTGTGATTTCACACATGGAAGGAAATCCACAGGACAGATTCCCCAAAGTGGGATTGCTAAGTAGGAATATATTTGTAATTTATGTTAAGCATTGCCAAATTATGTTCCAGAGCGGATGAACCAACTTAGGTCCCTACTAACATAACACAAGTTTGTCTGTTTCTTCAGCATTACCAACAGAACACGGATTCTTGCCCACCTGAGAGTAAAAATTAGCATCTCATTTGGTTTTAACATCCTGTATCTTTTAAATAAGTAAGGTAGACCTTTTTTTGTTTTGTTTTGGCGGTACTGGGGTTTGAACTCAGGGCCTCATGCTTACTAGGCAGGCGCTCTATCACTTGAGCCACTCCACCAGCCCTTTTTTTGATGTTGTGTTTTTTCACCAGCCCTTTTTTGTGTTGTGTTTTTTCGAGATAGGATCTTATGAACTATTTGTTCTGACTGGCCTTGAACTGTGATCCTCCTGATCTCTGCCTTTTGAGTAGCTAGGATTACAGCATGAGCTCCAAATACCCAGCTAAGGTAGAACGTTTGATCATATGTTTAAAAACCATTTGTGTTCTGTTTTCTGCTAGATGTACATTTGCTTTGCAAAATACGTTTTTCTCTAGTATTGTTGGGTTTTTTTTATTACTTCTACAACCTCTTTACATGGAGATCAGAGACATTAGCTTTTTATGAGATGTCCTGCCAATATTTTTCCCCAGTTTGTAGTTTTTTCTTTGACTTTATGTCTGATTTTTTTCACTTCCTTTTTATTAAAAAAATACTCAAATTTATCCATCTTTTCTTTCTTGGCTTCTATATTGTAAGTCATAGAAAGGCCATCACCACTCTGTAAGTAAGAGCAACTTCCCACATGAAAAAATTCTAAAACTTTTATGGTTTCATTGGTCGTTTCTTTGACCTATTTGGAACTTTCTTGGTATAAGGTGTGAAGTATGGATCAGACTCAGTATTATATTTTATTTATTACTTTGGGAGGGGGAGAGTTGAGACATGGGTCTTGCTAGGTAGCCCAGGCTGGCTTTGAACTCTCAGTCTTCTTGCCTCAGTCTCCTGAGTGCTGGGATTGCAGGTGTGTACCACTACATCTGGCTTCAGACTGAATATTTTAAAATAGGACCCAAATTTCATGAGTTGGTCAGTCACATGACATGAATGGTTTATTATACCCTCCTCTTCCAGAAAAGTGAAACTTTTCCTGAGGGACAGACGGTCATCCAAATCCTTCATTGGGCTTACTTATTTTTTTCTATTTAATAGTATTGGAATGAAACCCACTCTCCTATCTAGAAGTCTCAGTTACAATAAACCTATTGGAGCTCTGTCTCTCCCAGCCTAAGAAGAAGGGCACTGTCAATGTGGTTGTAGCCACCATAAAGAACAACTCTGGAAGAAGACTGGTAGATGGGGGCAGAAAGAGAAGTCTCCCACAATGATCTCCTTTCCATAGTTAGTTGGGTACCATGTCCCCCATCTGGGTGTTATACCATGGCACAGGGCACACTTCAGCCAAGGACACCCCTAGACAAGGCAGCAAAGGTGGAGCCTTTTTGACAAGCTGGCTTCCCACCTACCAAGGAGCAGCTCCTGCACCTACCTTGAGGCTCTCTCCACTGTTTCCAGGGGTGCCAAGTGAGGTGGTAAGCTTTTCTGCTACTTCCCTGCACCAGGACAGGAGAAATCTAGTAACTGTTCCCCCAGTCTGTGGTGCCAAGTGAACAGGGTGCAAGGTTGCCAGATGACCTACACGACCCATTAGATTTGCATTTCAGATAAACAAGGAATGACTTTTTAGAGTATGCCCCAAACAATATTTGGGATATACTTATACTAAAAAAAATTCTGTGTTTTTCTGAGATTTAAATTTAGATGGATGTCCTGTATTTTTGTGGCTAAATCCAGCAACCCTAGCAGGATGCAAAGAGTTGGGGAAACCAAGCATGTGATCATTTAAGACCCTTGGACTGGCTCCATGCTACGGAGAAGGGGTCAGATGTGAATAAACCCACACTAGGGCATGATGAAAACAGCTTCCCCTGCCATGGCTCCCCTGTGCAGAAGAGCCCAGATTTGTGCATCAGAAGAATATCTGCCACAAGCTACACTGATGACCTGACATAGGACTTGCCAAGAACATGCAGAGGAGGAGACAGCTGATGGCACCAAAGGCCATTGAAAATACAAGATGGCGGCCACTACCCAGAAGTCAACAGCTCTAATTCCCCTCTGTGTTTTACAGATTGATCAAAAACAATTTGACAAAATCCTTGAGCTGATTGAAAGTGGGAAGAAGGAAGGAGCCAAGCTGGAATGTGGGGGCTCTGCCATGGAAGACAGAGGGCTCTTCATCAAACCCACTGTCTTCTCAGAAGTTACCGACAACATGAGAATCGCCAAAGAGGAGGTACGTGTGGCTACAGCCCAAGCTATGGCCCCAACAGTCCTTCAAATAGTTCTTCTCTAGGGCCCAGGGATCCCAGAAGTCTTTGCGGGGTATTTTCCTTTTCAGTGGGGCCTTTTTTCCTCTGGACTCTTTCAGGAGCCATCTTGCCCCATTTCTTCTTGCCACTCCCAAGGACTGCAAAACAGCTACAGTGTGTTCTAGTTGTTTCCATCATTGTTCATGGTCTCCTGGGAGCAAAAATCCCTCTCCTGCTCCCAGCATGGCCCTGAGTTAGTTATGCAGCCCAGGGGAGGGAGCTTTGGCCACTTGTGAGTGTTGCCAGGAACCGAGCTGTGGATTTAGGGCCCATAGCTACCTTTAGTCACCCAAGATTGACCTTAAAACCATAAGTATCCACTCAAGGAATGTGGCCCAGCTACAGTTCTCATTGCAGTTTTCCATCATGGCATCCATGGGAATGATAGACATTAAGGAGACCACCAAGAGTGCAGCTCTGCCTTTGTCTCTCAATCCCACTCTTAGGCCAATGGGAACTGATCCTCTGTAGGATTTAGAAGACACAGCCTGATGCTGGGTGGTTAGACCCTCTGAGGTGGCCTTTTGGGGGCATGAAGAAATACACACTGTCAGGGTTTCCTGGTCAAGCATTTGATAGACTTTCTCCTTGAGATTCTGATGGGTTACTAACCCTGCTGTGATGGCTTGGAGCTCAGCTCTTTAAATATCCCCATGGTGGGTGATTCTGAGGAATGAGGGATGGCATTTCCAGAGCTGGAGCACCATCTTGCTAGGATAGAAGCCTGCCCAATGGTGAATTGCCACAAGCTCCCCACAAAATCTCCTTCATATGGACAAGCCTTTAGCTCTTCCCTTTCTTTGCTGTGTTGTAGCCTGTGTGACACTGTCCCATTCCCTCCCCTGGGAGTTACCATGGAAACATCCTCATTGATGGAAAACAGCTCCAGGAGGTCAGGGCACATGGTCCTACAGTCCTACCTGTGAATACCTTCTGAAAGAACTTTCCAGAAAGTCACGCACAGGTGTTGTTGTCTTCTGTGCAGCCTGACATGCATGGGTTACCTCAAGGCTCTCAGGCTGGGGGCTCTCAGAAACCTTGATGAGGAGGAGGGATCATAAATGTGACATATAGCTGGGTGCCGGTGGCTCACATGTGTAATCCTAGCTGCTTAGGAGGCAGGGATCAGGGGGATCTTGGTTTGAAGCCAGCCCGGGCAAATAGTGAGACCCTATCTTGAAGATACCGAATACAAAAAGGGTTGGTGAAGTGGCTCAAGGTGTAGGCCCTGAGTTCAAGCCCCAGTACTGCAAATAAATAAGTAAATAAATAATAAAAATAATGTAACACATTTTTTGGTTATTTAAAAAAATTTTTTGTTCCAATTTAATTCTTCCTTCCCCTTCAGATTGCAACCCTCACACAGCTAAAAAGGTCCATGGTGGTCCTTCTTCTCCACTCCTCATTGTGTGAGTGTGTGGGCTCTGGGTCTGTGAAAAAGACAAACCCAAGAGGGTACCTGCTCAGAGCCTACAGTTCCGTTCACTGCTGTTCTTGCAATTTATCAGATTTTCGGACCAGTGCAGCCAATATTGAAATTCAAAAATATTGAAGAAGTGATCAAAAGAGCCAATAGCACTGACTATGGACTCACAGCAGCTGTGTTCACCAAAAACCTGGATAAAGCCCTGAAGCTGGCTGCAGCATTGGAGTCTGGAACTGTCTGGTAAGTTGAGAGGGAGAGAGAGAGAGAGAGAGAGAGAGAGCGAGAGTGCGAGAAAGAGAGGCTGTACTGAGTTGTTTGCATGCTGATTTCACTTTTCTTCCACTAACAGAGAACATTTAGCTTTATATTATGTGCCACCACTGTTTAAGTGCCTTGTCAAATTCTTGTGGCCACCTTCAGAAATGGGTACCCTATGATTTAGGTATCTCATCTTACAGATGAGGAAATCAAGACAGAGAGGTTGAGGTTGTGTCCAGGGTCACACAGCTTGTACAATTGTTCCTACAAATATATTGGTAGTACTGGGGTTTGAACTCGGCTTCGTGCTTACTAGGCAGGTGCTCACCACTTGAGCCACTCCACCAACCCCAGGACTCCCTGCAGACACCAGAATCTATGGATACTTAGGTTTCTAAGTGGTGGAGTATGTGTGCACCTGTAAGCTTGAAATCATTTCTAGGTAACATAATACTGATACATTGTAAATGCTGAATAAATAGTTGTTACACTGTATTGTTTAGGGGGAAATGACAAGGATGTAAATCTGTTACATGTTCAGAATAGATGCAATTTTTTCCCCAAATATTTCAACCAAGGTTGATTGTAAGGATGTAGAACGTGTGACTACCAAGGGACGGCTGTGCATGGCAGATGGGGCTTGTGCCTGTGACCAATGTCACACAGCTATCTGACTTTGTTTCTGCTTCTGATTCTATAGTCAGTACTTGCTCATCTGCAAAGTATGAACACCAGTCCCTGCCTCATGATAATTTTGTAGATTATATACTTTAAAAAAATTTTTTTCTGGTGGGATTAGGGATTGAACTCAGGGCCTTTTGCTTGCTAGGTAAGTGAGCTGGGATTACAATCATGAGCCACCTTGTCCAACCCAGATTACATATTCTTATCCCTATTTTAAAGATGAGTGAATCTCAGCTCAGAGAGGTTGATTAACTAGCGTACAGCCACATAGTCCTGGAACAGAAGAACTCTGAGGTCAGGCAGATCTGCATTATTTCAAAGCTAATTCTTATTCCCCTGTGCCATAGTTTTTCTCTTCTTTGTTTTTGTCCTCTCATCCCATTCCCATCCCATTAAAAAAACTCTAGACTTCAGTGTATTCACATTTTAGTTTCTGGCAGGAAGAATGAGGCGATAGAAGTTAAGAGCACACTGTGTTTTAGTTAGTGAAACTTTGCCAAAAGGCCATGCATTGGGCCAGCGGCATCCTGCATCCCATGCTTCCTAGCTGAAACCCATGAGATCCAGGTGAGTCTTCTCTAGATAATCACCCGTGTCTTTTTCCTCTTTTTCTAGGATCAATTGCTACAATGCACTGTATGCACAGGCTCCATTCGGTGGCTTTAAAATGTCAGGAAACGGCAGAGAACTGTAAGTATTTTAATTCCTTTAAGTCTGCTGACAGGCTGAATTAAAAAATACAATAGATTTGCAGCTCAATGAGCTAAGATCATGGCCAGTGATCCCCCAGCACAGTGATCCACCCTGTCACCAAGGCTGGTGGTCCCTTTCCTGGTCTGGATTCCTCCCTCTTTCTTCCTCCCTCCCCAACCTTGGCTTTCCCCACCCTCCTCCTCATCCCCAGGCCCCACCTCCAGCCTCTACCTTCATGCCCTGCCCAGCTCCTGTCACATCAGAGACATTCAGTAGGTCTTTGGGCCTAGGTTTGTGGAATGAGGACATAGCATCGAACAAGTACACTTTTTGTCAAACATAGGATATCGTTTCTCACACAGATCTCCACTCCAGGCAGGGAAGACAGACTGTGACCCAATCGGGCTCCAAATCTGGTGGGCCTGGCTTTCTGAGCCCAGCAGAAGCCCTGGGTACATATCCTGGGTGACTCTGGCTCCTTCTCGATGCTTCCTTGGGAGGTTCATGGGGACTTGTGGTCCCTCCATGTTTCCTTTCTGTCTGGCCTGCTGAGAAAATGAATTTCATAGGTTGAGATTCATGGACAGGCTTTCATGTGTTTGATGCAGGCCCAAAGCTGGATGGAGCGTCCCAGGGGTGGAGTCGCTGTGGTCTCCAGCTGGACGCTGGCTTCCCGGGTTTTATTAGCATGTGGATAAACATCTCGCAGGCTCAATGTTCCCAGGGAACCATCTGTGACAACACCCCAGGCTGTTCCTGGAACATTTCTGAGGGCTTGAGCTCTTCCTTTTATTTAAGCAGTTTGTGTCACTTCTGTATAAATGCATTACCTTCTATTTGTTTGCACATCTTACAGTGGGAACTCTAGCATTTCCCCTTGACCTTGGCCTTAGTGGGGATTTTGCATGGCTCTGCTTAAATTCTTAAATATATTAGATTCTTAAAGATATTAGGATGGAATGAGGTTGGGCAGTCTGCATGGAATTGGGGTCCCCCGCCCTACTTTGGTCTTTCTTTCTACTCCATCTCTGTCTCAGCACTGGCTCCAGAGCCATCTGCCTGTCTATGTGGAGAGTATGCCTTGGTGTCTCCTCCTTATGCCTGGTTCTCCCTGTAGAGAACTTACTCTTTTATATATATATATTTTTTTCTTTTTTCTTTTTTTTATTATATTCATATGTGCATACAATGTTTGGGTCATTTCTCCCCCCTTCCCCCCGCTCCCTCCCTTACCCTCCCTAACCCCTGGCTACCAGGCAGAAACTATTTTGCCCTTATCTCTAGTTTTGTTGTAGAGAGAGTATAAGCAATAATAGGAAGGAACAAGGATTTTTGCTAGTTGAGATAAGGATAGCTATACAGGGATTTGACTCGCATTGCTTTCCTTTTTTTTTTTTTAATTATTTTATTATTCATATGTGCATACAAGGCTTGGGTCATTTCTCCCCCCTGCCCCACCCCCTCCCTTACTACCCACTCCGCCCCCTCCCTCTCCCCCACCCTCAATACCCAGCAGAAACTATTTTGCCCTTATTTCTAATTTTGTTGTAGAGAGAGTATAAGCAATAATAGGAAGGAACAAGGGTTTTTGCTGGTTGAGATAAGAATAGCTATACGGGGATTTGACTCACATTAATTTCTTGTGCGTGTGTGTTACCTTCTAGGTTAATTCTTTTTGATCTAACCTTTTCTCTAGTTCCTGGTCCCCTTTTCCTATTGGCCTCAGTTGCTTTTAAGGTATCTGCTTTAGTTTCTCTGTGTTAAGGGCAACAAATGCTAGCTAATTTTTTAGGTGTCTTACCTATCTTCACCCCTCCCTTGTGTGCTCTTGCTTTTATCATGTCGCATTGCTTTCCTGAACTCACTCTTTTAGAAGCCTCGTTCCTCCCCCTGGTGGCCTGTTTGTGTTTTCTGAACTTCTTGATCACCTCTTAATGTCTCCCATCACTGGGGACCAGTGTCCCAGACTGGGGCCACCTGTGTTCCCTCCAGGATACTCCAACAGGAGTAGCTCTGGTTACATCTGGCATTTGCTGAGCCTTAGCAGCCTCCAGCAGAGCCTTATGTCCTCCTCATGACAGTCCATAAGAGGGGACAACTGTTTTCAGAAGAGCTACTGAGTGACAGAGTTGGGAATGAACTCTGGCAGCCTGGTCCTTGGATCCCCCATGGTACAGGGCCTTGTTTGACAGGGCTCATCTTTGTAAGCTACCTGGAATGAAGCCACCTAAGCTAGTGTGGTCAACTTGTTTCCTCTGATTTGCTGCCTTCAGCCAGGCAGGTCATGAGGGCTGGGGAACGGATAACCCACACAGTGCTTGTCCCTAAGGCCAGCAGCAAGAACTCTAGTCTCCAAAGCAGCCATCCTTGGATGTAGAAATTGTAAGAAGGTGTGTGGGGTCCACCTGATTCCTAGTTCGTCTGGCTCCCTGGCGATCCACAGCCTGGTCTTCCTCACCCCCACCTATCTGGCTGCACCTTTAGCCCCTGAGTGCCCCCTTGCCTGTCTCCCAGCATCCACTGGACACCGTCCGTGTTTCACCCTTCTGGTTAGCCATAGTGGGGACTTTTTGGAATGTGGTTTTTGGATCCTTGGCATATATTTCCCAGTATTTATATATTTTGATAAAATGTTTAAAAATAATTCACAAGGAGCCTGAAAACTGCCTTGAAAACTAATTTCTATGTTCACTGTCTCTAATTAATGTCTTTGTGTCACAGACAGTTCCCCTTTTTCATGCTGGAGCACCCTGCGGTGGATTCCATGGTTTTCCCCAAACCCATCCGCCTGATTGGGCTGATTACCAGCCACCCACCATGGGCCCCTCTGGGATCTGCTGCTGGGCTGGTCTTGGGATGGAATCTGCAATTTCTCTTCCTCCTGGATGCTTTGCTTCTTAGTTCTTTGTTTTGCTTTTAATAAAAGTAAGACAATGACCTAAAAACTGCACCTGTAGAAATATGGAAAGCCACGATCTCCTCCCCTGAACCTGTCCCACATGTTAGGTCAGTGCTGTACATTCATTTATTTATTCTTTCATTCATTTGGCAAATATTTTTTGAGCATCTTTGACACTCCAGGTGGGACGTTAGGTTGCAGGGCATAATACAGTCACCTGTCATTGTCCCCCTGACATTCTGGGGAGGCTCATTCAAGAAAGGCTGGCTTTATAGATGGCCATGATTCCCAAGGTGGATGAGACTGTGCAGGGTGGAGGATACCATGTTGGGTTGAAGAACAGCAGCAAGAACTTGAACTAGGACAACATTGGAGACATAGGAAGATTGAGGGGACCCTTGTCCTTATTCTTACAATGATTATAATAGGATTTCATCACTCCTCTTAATTAAGTTGATAAATCATTAATAATTTTGAATTGTCGCAATGCATTATTTGCTCACTTGTAGAGTGTGTTGTGCATTTTCTACACGTTTTTATATATGATAATATAAATTCATGTGTTCTTTCCTATTTTCAGAGGAAATGGGAATGAGCTACTTTTGGCTCTGAAGAGTAGGTTTTGGCTATCCTTCCATTCTTTTTATTAATAGCCTCTCATAATGGACTTTTGTGTTATTTCCAAGGGTTTTTGCTATGACAATCCATGCTTATATATTTCCTTGTATATAAATATTTACACACTTGTGGGAGATTGTTTTCAGAATAAATTCCTAGCATTGAATAATCTGCCACTTGAAAATGAGCTTGGCACTGTTTTGGTTTGCATTTCTTTTATTGTGAGACGTTTAGTGCCCCTTTCACGCTTACTGGAACTTGTATTTCTTTTTCTGTAAACTGACTGTGTCCTTCATTCTTCATTCCATTTGGTTGATTGATTGTTTTCCCTATTGGTTTTTGAGAACTCTTTATATATTGAAGAAAGCAGCACTCTTTCTCATGAAGGTTGCAAATGTTATTTTTCTTTTTTCAGTTTTTTACTTGTCGTTTGGGGTATTTTTTAGTGGTGTATCTGCATGACAAAAGTTGGATATAGCATCCTATCTGTGGCTTTTCTAGCTTATGTTATGTCTAGAAAATATTCTGAAAGAATTTGCTTGTCATGGATTCTTGAACTCTTATGTTTTAAGAAACTACCTAAAAATCTCAATGACACACTATTAATAGAATAACATAACCTTCCCCACTTTTCACCTAGCACATAGAAGGTGTTTTATGTGAGTTATCTGACTGTTATAACTGTGAGGAGGTGAGAGTATCCCATTTCACAGATGGTGAACTGAGGCTCAAGGAAGGCACAGGACTTCATGGTTCTAACTAGTGCATCTCCCTTTTGAGCAGGTATCAGAACCACTTGAGGGCTTGTTGACTACAAATTTCTGGTTCAGAAATTTCTGATTCAGTGAGCCTATTAGTTTTGTAACAAAACCCCACAATTAGTAGGTCTTAAGCAACATAAACATATTGCCTTCCAGCTCTGTGGGATAACAGTCTGACACAGGTCTCATTGACGTATGACCAAAGTGTGTGCAGGGCTATATTCCTTGTTCCTCTTTGGAAGCTGTTGGGAGAATGTTACCTTGCCTTTTCCAGTCTCTGGAGGCTGCCTTCATTCCTTGGCTATCTCTATCTTCACAGTCAGCCCTATGGCATCTCTTTGTCTCTTGGTACTCTCTCCTTCCACTCTTTTTTTTTTTTTTTTTGGTGGTAGTGAGGTTTGAACTCAGGGCTTCACATTTACTAGGCAGGTGCTTGACCACTTGAATCATGGCCTCAGCCCATTTTTTGCTTTTACTTATTTTTTGGATAGGGTTTTTTGCCCCAGGGCCAGTCTCAGACCCTAAGAGACCCTCCTACCTACACCTCCCAGTACCTGGGATTACAGGTGTGTACCACTATGCCCTGCCTCTTCCACTCTTAAGGATCCTTGGACCCACCCAGATGATCCAGGATAGTATCTCTCTTTTTGAACTGATTAGTCACTTGAATTCCATCTGCAACGTTAGGGTGCAAAGGGAAGTTGTTTGCCATGTAACCTAATATATTCATGGGTTCAGGCAGTGGGATATGGACATTTTAGGGTCTGTATTCTTCCAGTGGGTCTGGGGAAGGCCTGGGAACCTGCATTTCTATCATGTTCTTGTCTCCTCTGATGATGCTAGTTTGGGCACCACACTTAGGGGACTCCTGGTTTAAAGGAGGAGATGGGATTATGTCTCAGGTCTTTCTAGTAGAGCCTCCAGGGACCACTCAACTTCTACCCCTTTCCTTGCATCAGCACACTTTGTTCTTTACTTAACAGCAGAACCCATGCAATAGAAGGATTAAAACGTCCAAAGCTGCCACTAGGAGCTGCCATAAAGATAGCCCAGGATCACCTGGCCTGTGTAAGACTTAAAGAATGGAAATATACCAAAGATGCTATGGCCTTCCTGTGTCCAGTCTGTGCTAACTAATGTCTGTTCCCCTCATCCTGCAGGCTAGCCTCTTTCCCCTTAGACCTGGTCACCAGCAATGCCCTGCAAGGCCAAATGGTCCTGTGGCCACAGCTCACATCCTCAGTAAATAAGCAACCTTGAACTTCAGCCTCTTCTGTCTCTTCAAACAGCTCTAAATTGCTACCTATAACTTACAAGCTCAGTGTCATTTCTGATCCTGGCTCCCCATTGTCTGTCCACCTGCCCTCTTTTCTGCTCTGTCTCCCTGCCCTGGGGGAATTCCCCCCAATTCCTGGTTTTTCTTTCTTTCCCTCAAAGGCAAAGCCTTAGTCCTTCAGACTATTTCAAAAGTGTCACATACAAAAGCAATTTAAATTTCCATTTCCAGTTACTTAAGCTTGCATCATAGGCCTGGCCTCTACTCTACCCAGGCATCACACTTAGGCCTTTTTTGCATAAGCCCCAAACCCCAAACTACCCAACAGAGTGATCAGGAATTAGGACACTTTCCCAAGAACCATGAATTGACATGCACAGTGTGAATGGTCCCCTTTCCTATTGTCACAGAGGTGAATATGCCCTGGCTGAATACACAGAAGTGAAAACTGTCACCATCAAACTTGATGACAAGAGCTCCTGAAGGGAAGGTGGTCTTCTCCCTCAATCGCTGGACAGCTGAATGTGACAGATCACACTTGCAGAAGGAAAACACGACACTACCAATCTTCGGTGACATTTCTTCTGGACACTTTCAATCTACTGGAGCTGAATGGTTTTTATTTTTCTGGATTTCTCATACTCATGTTTTATTGATTAAACTGTGGGTACCCATACGTTGTGTATGAAATTGCAGTCCTGCCCTGGGAGGGAGCTATTGGCTATTTTTGATTTTGCCTTCACAGTAAAACCCCTCAGGGACTTGTTATCCAGAGATAGTATTTGAAGTGTCCAGCAGCTGCTTCCGTTTGCTTTGCTCACTCTGACTCCAGGAAGAATTTGGAAAGAGCTCCCTGCATGTTCTACAAGCAGGTCCCTGCACCTGTGGTCTCAGAGTCACCTGTGCAAGACCCTCCTCATTTTGAGGTAGGGTGGGACCATCCAGAAGGAAAGGTGGCACTAATATTTTAAAAAGGGGGGGAGTTGAGGCTGCAATATGAGGAGCTTTGGGAAGCGGACACTGTGAAAGGGTGACAGAGGCCTTAGGCATGCATAGGTATGGGTCTTGGAGGGCTATATGTTGATATTGACTATGGGGTTCACCTTGAAACTAATCAAGCCTTTGGAATATGACTGAATTGACATCCTAAAGAGCTTACTCTAAAATTATATGATGGTCTACTTTCACCAAGGCACTTTCTTAGGCAGAGGACATTATTAGTGTCACTTTGCCACTGAGAACCTAACATTCTAGTACCACAATCACAGAGCAAGTCTTAGGATAATTAAGTCCCATACTTAACAAATCAAAGCCATAATCCCCTATTATAAATTATGCATTTCTACCATATTCAGTAATAAATTATGATAAGCCTTTGTACTTTTCCTTTTCTCCAGCATTCATTTTTGATTAGTAAAAGGCACGCAAGAGGGAAGACTTTGTTACAATGCAGCCCTGTTTCTTTAAAGTCCTGATTTGGTATTTGTTTCTGATTAGCTAACAAAGAACACCTGGATTCCAGAGACGACCTGGGTCTCCATCTAAGTGACCTGGATATTTCACTAGCAGTTTAGGATTCTTTTTCTTTTCCTTGTATCCAAATAAGGAGCAATTCCATGTTTTAACTTGGACATCTGAGAGCATTCCCCTATAGCCTTCTAAACCAAAACAAACTTAAGCTGTGTTATTCAGGTCCTCTTGTTGTTATTAACTGGTGCTTTTTGAGTTGGAAAACTGATGGCGCTTATGTTAGAAGACTAAGTTGAAGGGGGCAATGGTGAAATGAAGGTCAATGTCAGAAGCCACATGTGGATAAAGAAAATCATACGTGAATTAGGGCTATCATCCTTGGTGGAGATATGCAATTCATCTTCATCTTCTTCAACCCATCCTTTGCCACTTATCCTCCCAGTAACTTGTCCAATCAGGATTTGATCTTGTACACTGAATTTTTGGTGTCTCAAGTAACTATAGACACTGCCTTTATGGCAGTACATTAGAGGGTCCTATTCTTTCATTGTACAATAATGCCTTTAATATGAGATGCTACACTATTTATAATTGGTATAGTTATTGTATCTTTTTATAGCTGTAAGTACACAGAGGTGGTATATTTAACCTTCTGTAATATACTGTATTTAGACATGAAAATCTATATAATGTTAGATTTCACCTTCTTTTAAGGTTTACTCTTGTGGTATGGGTTAACAATCCATTGGACTGGGAATTCTGATCCTAACTGCAGATTGGACTCAACAATGGTAAAATAAATTTGGATATTTGAGAAATGGTATATGTTTTCATTGAAAGACCAAATCCATTTAAATTCTGTGGCAAGCCTTTCTCTTTCTAGAATTTTTGTATCATATGGCCTATAACAAAACAGTATCCGTGCCAAGAAAAAAATTACATTTCTAGTTGGGCAGACTCTTTGTTTTTTTCTGAGTGTAAACCTATGGTCGACTTGGAGGTCCATCAGGGCAGAGAGCTCAGCCCTGTGCCTGAGTTGGCTAGGTTTAAGATATCTTCTAAGCTGCCTGAGTCTCTTTTTATCATGAAGCAACAAAGGTGATGTGTGTATAAAGTAAGAGTTAGCATCACACTCTCCAGCCATGACCACTGGGTTCATTTTTGTGATTTCTCTATGATCCAGTATTTGGGCTGAACACAGGTAAAGTTCTTAAGGCTTCTAACCAAGAAGTCTCAGTCACCAAGCTGGGAGCTGGCACTGAGGTTGAATAAAAACTACTCATTATGCTTGGTTAGGTTCACCAAGCCCTACCTGCTCATTCAATGTTAGGAACCCAGGTCACTTACTGTGTAGTTCCAAAGCAGTGGCCCTTTAAGAAACCACATAAGGGAGGTTGGACCATATCTCTCTCGAGATGAACTTATGCATGTATCAATTCATTTAGGACATCTCATTTCTCCACCCACATGTGAGCAGAAAATTATAGGAAAATGGCACTTTTCTTTGATTTACTAAAACCTCATCACCCAAAGGGAACCACTCTAGGGTCAATAGCCTGGATGTGTGTATCTGTGAGTGTGTCAGTGTGTGCACATTTTCTATAAGAAGAACCTTTGGAATTCACTTCTCCTGCTGGCCGATGAAACCCTTCTAAGGTCTTTTGCTCATTGCTTCAAGTCACATGGCTAATTTGCACTTGAAGCTGGAGAATGACCAACGTTTAAAACATTGGTCAAGGGAGATGTCAGAGGAAACTGAGTACCCTTGAAGAAAGACAAGCAGAGTTGCAGAAGGGGCTGTCAGCCACTGTGCCTTCCAAAGGCAGACATATTGGTTCAGGAGTCTTCCAGTTGACTCCACTTTGGAAAGTACCATTCCAACCTGAGGTTGCTGAAGATCTGGGTGGGATGCGACAGAAGAAAGAAGACCATGAGTCAGCAGGGATTAAAAAAAAAAGAATCGGAAGGGAATCTTAGGTGACCTGTAACAGCCTCCCTGTGCAAATTTAGGACTAAGGCATGCCTAATCCAGTTGAATACTGGGATATAGCCAGCTTAATACAGGTTGTCCTTGTGTCCAATGTTCCAGACGTTTTTCTACTTTGGGCACATTTCCTAGCCTATTCCCAAGCTCCCTTAAAAGGGAAGGTGTATGGCTCCCATCATGCAAGTCCCCTTGTGTTTTCCTGGCACTGGGCGTGCACTTCCTCTCAGTGGCACTAGGTGGCGTGGCGGTGCAGCCTGGAGGCGCAGCGAGGCCTTGACCAGGCTCACTCAACACTCAGGACGCCACGCCCTGCAAATTATCAGGGACTTTTCGGTAGCAAGCAAATTGCTGCCTTTGCAGACTGCTATGAGGCCGCAGTGGTGAGGACAGGATTGCAAAACCGCGCCCACCCTTTCGGACCGGTGGTCGGTGGCGGGAAAACCAGAGAGGCAGCCTCTTGAGATCAGAGCAGAGCTGCCAGGCGGTCCCCCCTGGACAAGTAGGGACCCAAGGAGCAGCTCCAAAGAACCACTGTCTGGGGTCGAGGTCATGCTGGGAACGTGCAGCTGCCTGTATTTTGTGAAATGGCAGTGAGGGTTATGACGATTTATCTCTGCGCTTTGCATAATGGTGACATTACACGAGATTAGGCACTGGTCCTGCCAGGGTATAGAATCGCCTGCTTTTCCTAGCAAGAGTCACTTTTCTGGATGAACACGTGGAGCCAAATCTGAAGCTTGCCTGCAGCGCGGGTGGGTGGGTGTTTATGTACCCACTATGACAGGTTGAAGCATGATAAATTGCAAACCATGTTTTATTTACCTCCCACCCCCACCAAAAGCAGACAATTAAAAATGACTCACCAGCCAGGTGTGGTGGTTTGCTCCTGTAGTCCCAGCTACTTGGAAGGCTGGGGGATGGGGAGGAGATTCACCAAATAGCAATATATTTGCATACAGCCATGAATAAATTAGTAAATTCAGGATGGGTGCAGTGGTTCATGCCTGTAATTCCAGAGATAGGGAGAATTGTGGCTTGAGGCCAGCTCAGGCAAAAAATTAGCAATACCCCACCTCAACAAATAAACTGGGAGTGGTGGTTCCCACATGACATCCCAGCTGTGTAAGAGGCATTCATAGGTAGGAGGATCCTGGTGGTCCCAGACCAGCTCTAGACAAAAATGAGAAACCCTATCTGAAAAATATCTAAAGCAAAAACATGGCTGGAGTCTGGCTCAAGTGGTAGAGCGCCTTCCTAGCAGGTGCAAGGCTGAAGTTCAAATCCCAATAGTGTCCCCTCCTCAAAAAATTAGTTAATTCAGTAGTGGAAAAGGCAGTTTGCAAAATATTAACGTTTTCAAAATACATATTCTATCCTGCTCTCCAAAGAGCTGCACACACATGGGTATTCCCGGTCTTTTTCACGTTTACAACCAGACTATGTGACCAACATACAAGTTGGAGGTTAATCTGTCAATTTTGCGGCTACCAGAGCAGAGTTTGAAAGCTGGGCTTGCAGAGGGCTGGACGATCTTATCACTATGCCTGTCCCCAGGGGAGAGAACAGGGAGCCCGAGCCTGGAGGAGACCTGGCGTCGCCAGGGCCCTACAGTCCCCGCGTCTCCTGGGACACGAGCGGTGAACTTGATCATTTACGCTTTACAGCTGGGGAAACTGAGGCAGGCCGTCGAGGCCTCCCGGTGCCCGCGGTGCGGAGGGCCTGGGGACGCGGCCCGTGCCCTGCGCGCTCTTTGCGCCGCCCGCCCGCCCTCCCGCCCGCCGCGGGCCGTAGGATTGAGGAAGTGCGTCGGGGCCCGGCGCGCGGCCAGAGCGAGACGCGGGGACAGAGGGCGGTGTGACGACCAGGCCCCGGTCCGCCGGTGTCCTCCTGCGTCCCCGCGTCCCCGATCGCCCGCACCCACCGCCCTGCCGGCCGCCGCAGGTAAGTGCTGCTCGGGGCCCGCGCCCTGCTGGGGCCCCCGGACCGCCGCCTGCAGCCGGGCCGGGGACCGTGCGCCCGCGCCCGGCCCGGCCCAGCCCAAGCCCGGGGTCCGCGTGCAGCCCGGGCCTCCGCGCGACCGCGCGCCCCGCACCCCGGGCGGCCTCGTGCTCCTCACCGGTGGCCTTTGCCCGGGGACCGCGAGCCACAGAGGCGACCCCTGTCGCACCGCCCAGCTGCATCTGGGGGTGCTTAGACCCCAGCCAGCGAGGGTTGGGGACTGTGCGGGGCCGATGCCAGAAACCCAGAAGCAAACCCCGAGCGGGACAGGACAAGAGTAGGGGACCGACGCAAGAATCAAAAGTAGGAAACGCCAGGGAGTCTGCAGTTTTCTTTGCCTTGGCAGAAAACCCGCCCTTCAACGCAGAGCCGGCCGAGGGTGAGCGCAAGTGTGCAGGTGGGAGAGCGCCTTGCCTGGTGGCCCCAAGGGGTGACCCGAGAGTCCCTCCATGCTCCTAGTGACGCTGGGCGGCCAAGCGCCTCTGCCCGCTTCTCCGCATCTGGGGCATTCTTCCTGCCCAGGGGACGCATCTCTGGCTGGTACAGAGAAAAGCTGTCACTCCTGTAGCCTGAGCATGCTACCTTCCCGCGTGGGGTTGCAGGTGGGGTCCTGGGAAAGCTGAGGGTCCATGCAAAATGGTGATGGGGAACGTGGGGGCCTCTTTGGGTCGCTCATCCTGACCCTTCTTAGAGGTCATGAGTCTTTGCCTCTTACACACGCATCTCCCTGCAAAGATGGAGCAGTAGACAAATGGACACATATATGTGTGTGTGTAGAATTTGAACTCAGAGCCTTTTGGCTTGCTGGGCAGGTGCTCTACCACTTGAGCCACTCTTCCAGCCCTTTTTTGCTCTAGTTATTTTTGAGGTAGGGTCTGGAATTTTTGCTCCAGGAACCTCAGACTGCAATCCTGTCCTATCTCTGCCCCCACCCATGCTTGGCTCAAATCTTTTGTCACTCATATGGTCGCTGAGTACCTGGGCATTAAAGGGATGACAATATGCACAGTTTTGGAAAAGCTTGACATTAAGTTCCTTTTGTGGGTTGGTTTTTATGATGTTTGCTCATTAAGTTAAAAAGAAGGAAAAACATTAAGTTAGTAACATTAAGTTAATAACATACCAACACCTAACTTGTCCCTCAAGGTGGTTTTGGGGTCAGCCAAAACTTTCCTTCCCCTAGGCTTTCACATCTTGGGGAGTGAACCATAGTTGACTCACTTGCTTAGATAAAATAAAACACCTATAATCCATCCTTACTCTATTCCCACAGCTCTGAATTCAGTCTACTACCAAGTTTTGCTAAGCCTATCCCTAAAATGTATCCCTATGTGTCACCTTCTTTCTCACTGCCTTCATTTTGTCCCTCTCTTACCTGTGTGATTACAGTCCTCCTTCCTCCACTCTATCTGACAGCCAGAGTGATGGAGTATATATACCTTTTTAATGGATAATGGGACATGTCTGACTTCTTCAAGGAATACAGTAGCTTGTCTTTGCGATTGGCGCAAAATCCAGGGGAACTCCTTTCTTCCCTGCCCACCCTTGATGGGTTGGCCTCTGCCATCTCAGACCACCAGGCCCTTGCTCCAGCCTCCCTCCCTGGCTCCCTCAGTCTTCAGCTCATTTGGAGCCTCTGTGGTGCTGCCTATATCTCTCAAGACACCCACATCTCTCATGACCCTCCAAGGCCTTCTCCTCTCACATAGGCTCTCTCTGCAACCCCCTAGCAGTCCCGTTGTCCATGTGTTCCTTCCCTGGAGCCCCTGGGGCAGGGATTATATCTCTCTTGCTCTGCACAGCATCCTTGTGCTGTGCGGGAAGGCACCAGGGCATAGTGGTCCATACAGCGAACTGAGTGGTGAGTGGTTTCAGACTCATGGCACTCTTTTGTTCCCCAATCTTTCTGTGCTCCTCTGGGATTGAGAACAACGTATTTCTCTGATCTGCTGTCCCTTGATATTTTGACATCCACAAACCCTAGTGGGTTTAATAATACCTTTTATAGGCAAGCCAAGATGAGTCAGAGGATGCTAAAAGCACTCACTGAAGAGATGTCTAGAATCATGGGCCATCCATTGTCACCCAGCTTTTGACTAAAAATGGAGCTAGGTGACCTAAACATTTCCAACACACTTCACTTGGAAGGATCTCCCCATACTTTCATGTTGACTGTCCTTCCCAAACTTCCTGAGGACACCACCAGAAACTTGCAACAATTACTTCCCTTATCAACTCATCAAGTTCACACCTCATAGAAAGGGCGCAATAAAACCATTTGTAGAATGAATTTCAGGTTCCTTGTTTTCTTCTTCATTAAGCATCAAGGTTTATTCACTAATAGAGATAGGAGAGTGGCAAAAAGAAAATTAGTGTTTTTTGGGTTTTTTTTTTTTTTTGGCAGTACTGGGGTTCTTGAACTCAGGGCTTGTGCACTTGTTAGGCAGGCACTCTACCACTTGAGCCATGCCTCCAGCCCTTTTTGCTCTGGTTATTTTGGAAATTAAGTCTCGCTTGTTGCCCAGGCCCCCCTAAACCACTGTTCCTATTTTACACTTCCTGCTGTCACTGGGATGGCAGGTGTGTGCTAGCACTCCCAGTTTTTTTCCATTGAGATGAGGATATCCCAAACTTTTTTTTTTTTTTTTGCCCAGCCTGGCCTGGAATCTCCAGATTTTCCTGACGTCTAATGGGGCATGAGTACCCGTTAGTGACATTCTTTACGGTTAAACTAGTTGTTACTGCAGAAAATGTCTTGAATCCTTCTGTAGGAGGTGGAATAAAAACATATAACTTAACTATGATTTTTTGCATGGCTCTGTACCCAAAAGAAGCAGGAGGAAGCCAAGATCGTTTGAGGGCAAAGATTGAGCAAAACTTGAGTTACCTCATCTTAAAGCATAAGGGTACAAACCAAAATACAAATTCGAATTCTCATTTAAAACCTGGTCCCATGGTGAAATCCTCCATTAGTAGAGTGATTTGCAAAATGAAACTGAAAGGGGAACCAAATGTGCTGGGCAAAGTTAGTTTAAAACATTTTAAAAGATATATATATATATTTTTTTTGTAACTTAGAAACATGCCAGGACTGGAGGTATGGCTCGAGTGGTAGAATGCTTGCCTAGCAAGGGCAAAGTCCTCACTTCAAACCCCAGCACTGCAGAAGAAAAAACACTTTATGGCAAGACACTTGTGTTTAAGGAATGTCTACTGTTGGGAATCTCTGAAGTGCAGCTGGTATGTTTGCTAGTGGTTTTAGAGAGGTGTTTGAAAGCAGATGGTGACAGTGCTTTTCAGTTCCCGGATGTTAGTGTACACTTTGGAGCCTTTATTTTAAAACAGATTCTGTCTGAGTAATTCTCCCTTTTCCCATTTTCAAGTTGATTTTCCAAACCAGGTTTTACAATTTATAAGGCTTTTAATCTCCTGAATTTTATCCAGTTTGGATCATTTCTCTTCCTCCTTGGATTTTCTGGGCTGCCCAACCTCAAATGTGTGTTTTCCTGGGCTGGTCCCTCTTAGGTGCAGAAAGGTGAGGTTCTTAAAAAGTAAGACCCCTGGTGCAGACTCTCCTAGCCCCACCTTCCCTGCCTTGAGGAGTCCAGCTCACCTGCTCAGTGCCCACGTGATTCAGGGCACCTTCCAGAACCTGCTTGTGGGGAGACAGAGCCTCTGCCCTCCAGTGGTGATATTCTAAGTGTGTTCATCAAAGGGCAGGTGGGAGACCCCACTGGCCTGCCATGTCCTCACACTCATTGCAGGCAGGCAATGACCATGCCAGGCCTGATATAGAAGGTGACTGCAGGAGTCTTGTCTTGGTTGAGTTCACCCAGCAGCCTTGTGAGGGTGCCCGTGCATGGGATGGGGGTGGAGGTGAGGTCTGTTTTTAACAGACGAAAAAACTGAGGCATGAAGTTTCACCTGGAGGTCACACTGCTCATGTGTGACAGGCAAGCCACACTTTGCCATACCTTTACATCTTGTCTGAGGCATTAGGACCCATTTGGGAGTTGTTTCAATGCTAATAGCCTCATACTTTATAGACTATAGGAACACTGTTAGAAACATTCACAGATCCTATGGGAGTCCCTACCTTCCTGAGGTTGGCCTGGGCCAGGCCTGAGCCAGGCCCTCAAACATTTCTGGTCCTTTAATCAGTAAGGCAGGATGGGCACTTATGCTGGGGGAGGACTTCCAGACTCAGTGGGAGCCCAGCACGGAAAAGCAGTACCTGGTCTCCCTACTTTATCACCATCTCATCAGTTTTAGGAGATGTCATCTACCCAGTACTGTAGCATCCTCTTCCCATCCCAACTTGTGACAATCAAAAACATCTCCTGGGAAATGTTCCCTGGGACATGAAAGGCAACATGGATAGATGGGGCTCCTTTCTGTCAACCTCCAAAGCTCAAACTGAGTTCACTTCCTAACCAGAAACAATTCCTTCCAGAGCGTTCTCTTTGGGATTGTTGTCTGACTGCTCTTATGGGATCACATGCCCATCCCTGGGTTTCCAGAAGTCTGTTCTAGGCAAAGGGAGGGCCAACTGTGTTTCTTTCCCATCCCAGCTGGGTCATGAGCCTCTAGAGCAGAGGCCTCTTTTGCTGTGTTGGTGTCACTGGGCTATCTTGCAAGGGATCAGGGATATGTGTTGATTGACCATTGAGCCTTTTACCAGTAGATTGTGTGTTTGGAGTTTCTTTTCATGGAGACAAGATCTAAGCTCAGTGTCAAGGAGGGATGGGGGAGCCCCTGAGAGGTTCTGCCAGATAGATGCATTATGAAGAAATATTGCAAAGGACAAAGGAATATTGATGAACCAATGTGAAAATAAATAAAGTAAGGGCTTGAGTTAAAATTTTTATTTTCTTTTATGATGTCTCTCACCACCAGAACAAGAAAAGTTTTTGCTCATCCATGACTGGGTGTCCGACCTGTAATCCATTCGCACAGGAGTGGTGGACGTGAGAACAGGGGGACCTGCTTTTGGAGATTGGCTGTCTCAAGGGTTGATGGCTGGAATGTCGCAGAGACCACCCAGTATGTACTGGTGTGTGGGACCAGAGGGATCAGCTGTGTGTCCAGAGCCCACCATGGAGGCCTCCAATGGTAAGAAGGCTGGGCAAGAGCAGCCATGCTTGCTTGGAGGGAGTGGAGGTGACGGAAGAACAAGGTATCTTCAGCCATAGGAAATAAAATGACAATTATTTGGTGCTTTTTCATCATAAAATGTATCTTGGGCTTCTCGCTTAAATTCTAAAAAACGAGAGACTGTGACTAGAATCTATTGTGGACTCAAAACCCTTGATAGAATGCTATCATACCATATTGGTTAAGGATTCCTGCAAAATAGTGATTTAAAAAAAATTTATACTATAAAAATAATATATGTTTATTTTAAAAAATTCTAAAAAGAAAGTAGAAAAAAATACCATTTATATTATCCCAAACAAACACAGGTAGCATCCTGTCATATTCTATTCTGGTTTGCTTTTCTGTGACTAAGGAACTTTGTTTTTACTTTCTGGTATCTATAAGGTTCATGTGATTTTTATGTGCTACTTCTTTCTCCTAATCTCTTATCAGTAGTTTTTACCTAAGTCACCACCTCGATCATATGATTAAATGAAACATCATTTTATATTTGAGGACTACATACAATTATTGACCTAATCCTATTTTCCCGTTGGTCACTAATTGTCCACTCTTTTCCAATGTACTCCATCCAATCTTTTAACATGTGGCTTCAAGTTATTTCCAGAAAACAGATTTACAAAGGTCAGATTACTGCATTTGAACATTCTGAAGATTTCCCATGAGAGTTATACCACTTTTAATATCAATACAATACCATTGATGGTGTTAGCAATAAATATCTGTTAATCTCTGAGTACTGACCAGGCTCTGAGGTCAGTACTTAATCAAATAATCTAACTCCATCCTCACAACAGTCTGTGAAAATGGTATTTGTATCCCTCTTTAGACATCGCTTTTGTCTGAAAACTTGCTTAAAGTCAATAATTTATAAATTTTAGACCCATCATCTGAACCCTGAATGACCCCTAGAACTGTTGTTCTTAGATTGCAGACTACCCTGTGGGGTTTGAGAGGGTCCACGTGGTGGTTTTGACAGGTTCAAGAGGGCCAGTATGTTCTGTGTCCCTGACCATGCTAACAACTGAGTGCTGGTTCAGCAGATATTTTGTTCAGTAGCATGACTGTTTTTTCTCTGTCTCAGGCCGACTAGGGTGCTGTTTCTGGGAAGTCTCTTTATATATAAATCACATAATGAAACGGGAGAAAATCTTGCTTCTTAACATTACCCAGCACTAAATGTTCCCAGAGTACTTTTTTTTTTTTTTTTTACAAAGGAACATTTTATTTTTATTTTTATTTTTTTTCATTTTTCTTTTATTATTCATATGTGCATACAAGGCTTGGGTCATTTCTCCCCCCTGCCCCCACCCCCTCCCTTACCACCCACTCCTCCCCCTCCTTCTCCCCCCCCTCAATACCCAGCAGAAACTATTTTGCCCTTATTTCTAATTTTGTTGTAGAGAGAGTATAAGCAATAATAGGAAGGAACAAGGGTTTTTGCTAGTTGAGATAAGGATAGCTATACAGGGCATTGACTCACATTGATTTCCTGTGCGTGGGTGTTACCTTCTAGGTTAATTCTTTTTGATCTAACCTTTTCTCTAGTACCTGTTCCCCTTTTCCTATTGGCCTCAGTTGCTTTAAGGTATCTGCTTTAGTTTCTCTGCGTTAAGGGCAACAAATGCTAGCTAGTTTTTTAGGTGTCTTACCTATCCTCACCCCTCCCTGTGTGCTCTCGCTTTTATCATGTGCTCATAGTCCAATCCCCTTGTTGTGTTTGCCCTTGATCTAATGTCCACATATGAGGGAGAACATACGATTTTTGGTTTTTGGCCAGGCTAACCTCACTCAGAATGATGTTCTCCAATTCCATCCATTTACCAGCGAATGATAACATTTCGTTCTTCTTCATGGCTGCATAAAATTCCATTGTGTATAGATACCACATTTTCTTAATCGGGCATCTTGGCTGTTTCCATAACTTGGCTATTGTGAATAGTGCCGCAATAAACATGGTGTGCAGGTGCCTCTGGAGTAACAGTCTTTTGGGTATATCCCCAAGAGTGGTATTGCTGGATCAAATGGTAGATCGATGTCCAGCTTTTTAAGTAGCCTCCAAATTTTTTTCCAGAGTGGTTGTACTAGTCTACATTCCCACCAACAGTGTAAGAGGGTTCCTTTTTCCCCACATCCTTGCCAACACCTGTTGTTGGTGGTGTTGCTGATGATGGCTATTCTAACAGGGGTGAGGTGGAATCTTAGAGTGGTTTTAATTTGCATTTCCTTTATTGCTAGAGATGGTGAGCATTTTTTCATGTGTTTTCTGGCCATTTGAATTTCTTCTTTTGAGAAAGTTCTGTTTAGTTCACGTGACTATTTCTTTTTTGGTTCATTAGTTTTGGGAGAATTTAGTTTTTTAAGTTCCCTGTATATTCTGGTTATCAGTCCTTTGTCTGATGTATAGTTGGCAAATATTTTCTCCCACTCTGTGGGTGTTCTCTTCAGTTTAGAGACCATTTCTTTTGATGAACAGAAGCTTTTTAGTTTTATGAGGTCCCATTCTTGTATCAACTTAAGAGTTTGGGGTCTGATATTAAGATCCTTGATCCATTTTGAGTTAATCTTGGTATAGGGTGATATACATGGATCTAGTTTCAGTTTTTTGCAGACTGCTAACCAGTTTTCCCAGCAGTTTTTGTTGAAGAGGCTGCTATTTCTCCATCGTATATTTTTAGCTCCTTTGTCAAAGATAAGTTGTTTATAGTTGTGTGGCTTCATATCTGGATCCTCTATTCTGTTCCACTGGTCTTCATGTCTGTTTTTGTGCCAGTACCATGCTGTTTTTATTGTTATTGCTTTGTAATATAGTTTGAAGTCAGGTATTGTGATACCTCCTGCATTGTTCTTTTGACTGAGTATTGCCTTGGCTATTCGTGGCCTCTTGTGTTTCCATATAAATTTAACAGTAGATTTTTCAATCTCTTTAATGAATGTCATTGGAATTTTGATGGGAATTGCATTAAACATGTAGATTACTTTGGGGTATCGACATTTTTACTATGTTGATTCTACCAATCCATGAGCATGGGAGATCTCTCCACTTTCTATAGTCTTCCTCAATCTCTTTCTTCAGAAGTGTATAGTTTTCCTTGTAGAGGTCTTTCACATCTTTTGTTAGGTTTACACCTAGGTATTTGATTTTTTTGAGGCTATTGTAAATGGAATTGTTTTCATACATTCTTTTTCCGTTTGCTCATTGTTAGTGTATAGAAATGCTAATGATTTTTCTATGTTGATTTTATATCCTGCTACCTTGCTATAGCTATTGATGATGTCTAGAAGCTTCTGAGTAGAGTTTTTTGGGTCTTTAAGGTATAGGATCATGTCGTCTGCAAATAGGGATATTTTGACAGTTTCTTTACCTATTTGTATTCCTTTTATTCCTTCTTCTTGCCTAATTGCTCTGGCTAGGAATTCCAGTACTATGTTGAATAGGAGTGGAGATAGTGGGCATCCTTGTCTGGTTCCTGATTTTAGAGGGAATGGTTTTAATTTTTCTCCGTTAAGTATAATGCTGGCTGTAGGTTTGTCATATATAGCTTTTATAATGTTGAGGAACTTTCCTTCTATTCCTAGTTTTCTTAGAGCTTTTATCATGAAATGATGTTGGATCTTATCAAAGGCTTTTTCTGCATCTATTGAGATGATCAAGTGGTTTTTGTCTTTGCTTCTGTTAATGTGGTTTATTACGTTTATTGATTTTCGTATGTTGAACCACCCCTGCATCCCTGGGATGAAGCCTACCTTGGTCGTGGTGAATAATCTTTTTGATGTGTTGCTGAATTCGGTTTGCCATTATTTTGTTGAGGATTTTTGCATCAATGTTCATTAAGGAGATTGGCCTATAGTTCTCCTTTTTGGAGGTGTCTTTGCCTGGTTTTGGGATAAGTGTAATACTGGCTTCATAAAATGTGTTTGGCAGTTTTCCTTCCCTTTCTATTTCATGGAACAGTTTAAGGAGGGTTGGTATCAGTTCTTCTTTAAAGGTCTGATAGAATTCAGCAGAGAATCCATCAGGTCCTGGACTTTTCTTTTTGGGGAGACTCTTGATTGCTGCTTCAATTTCATTTTGTGTTATAGGTCTATTCAGGTGATTAATTTCCTCTTGGTTCAGTTTTGGATGATCATATGTATCTAGAAATCTGTCCATTTCTTTTAGATTTTCAAATTTATTTGAATATAGGTTCTCAAAGTAGTCTCTGATGATTTCCTGGACTTCCATGGTGTTTGTTGTTATCTCCCCTTTTGCATTCCTGATTCTACTAATTTGGGTTTTTTCTCTCCTCATTTTAGTCAGGTTTGCCAGGGGTCTATCGATCTTGTTTATTTTTTCAAAGAACCAACTTTTTGTTTCATTAATTCTTTGTATGGTTTTTTTGGTTTCTATTTCGTTGATTTCAGCTCTTATTTTTATTATTTCTCTCCTTCTATTTGTTTTGGGATTTGCTTGTTCTTGTTTTTCTAGGAGTTTGAGATGTATCATTAGGTCATTGATTTGGGATCTTTCAATCTTTTTAATATATGCACTCATGGCTATAAACTTTCCTCTCAAGACTGCCTTAGCTGTGTCCCATAGGTTCCGGTAGGTTGTGTTTTCATTTTCATTGACTTCCAGGAACTTTTTAATTTCCTCTTTTATTGCATCGATGATCCATTCTTCATTAAGTAATGAGTTATTTAGTTTCCAGCTGTTTGCATGTTTTTTGTCTTTACTTTTGTTGTTGAGTTCTACTTTTACTGCATTGTGGTCAGATAGTATGCGGTATTATTTCTATTTTCTTATATTTGCTGAGGCTTGCTTTGTGCCCTAGGATATGATCTATTTTGGAGAAGGTTCCATGGGCTGCTGAGAAGAATGTATATTGTGTAGAGGTTGGATGAAATGTTCTGTAGACATCTACTAGGTCCACTTGATCTATTGCATATTTTAGATCTTGGATTTCTTTATTGAG